AACCAAGCTAGAAGCCTTTGTTACAGAATATTGTCTCACATGGAAAACAGAAAACTTGCTGCATCCCACATTTTATGAGTACCTTGTTCCACAAGAGAAAGATGATTTGAAAAATATATTGAAGAAATAACTCTCTACCAATAACTAAATGGTAACAGATAATTGTATTAGCAATAATAATAATTGTAGCAATAGTTATATATTTCCAAAGGGTCTTGATATTAGAAGGCAAGTCAAGAATTTAAAGAAAGCAACAAAACTTTTGAGTCTGTAAAACATGTTTCAACAGAAACTTCTGTCATCTTCAGTTAATTACTGTACAAAGCCTTGAAAGTTGAATTATATAGTAAGTAGAACAATGCTAATTAAGATGAATAGTGACAACAAGAAAAGAGGTAAAGGATGAAAGTGTGAGAATTAAAAAGATAGATTTCTTTTTAATTCTCACACTTGCATGCTTTACCTCTTTTCTTGTTGTCACTATTTGTCTTAATTAGCATTGTTCTACTTACTATATAATTCAACTTTCAACGCTTTGTACATAAAGGTGTTTTACAGACTCAAAAGTTTTGTCACTTTCTTTAAAAATAGTAATATAATAGTAATTAGAAGGGGCTAGGGCATAACTCTCATGGTTCCCCAATCTTTTGGACTCCAAAAATGATTACCTTTGAATAAAGAGAGTAAGTTTCCAAAGAAAACCTGTGCTTATATTAATTTTGCCTCTTAACTACAAATAATTTTCTTATTTTATTAACATTCCATTGTTTGAGACTATTGTTTCATACAAAAAGACATTCTCTACTATTTCCTTATGGGGATTCAGTTTTTCAGATGTCTATCATACTGTTTTAAGACATTTTTTTTCAGTTCCCTTTTAACCTTTCAGGTATGAATACCATTGGGCAGATGGAACAACAATAAAAAAACCGATAAAATGTTCAGCTCCAAAATACATTGATTACCTTATGACATGGGTTCAGGACCAACTAGATGATGAGACCCTCTTTCCATCAAAAATAGGTAAGAGGTGGTAACTTTGTTGTCAATGGTAGCAATTGCATAATGTTACAAAGAAGAAAATTTGGGTTTCATGAGACCCAGTTTGGTTTATGAGGTTGGATGGTGGAATAACTGAAATACTGGGAACTTTGGGAAAGTCTCTCTCATATTTAGAGGTGATAAGCATCCTCCATTCTTAAATTCGTCATGAACTACAATAACAAAGTTTTCTTACTAGTCAACTATGATTTTCAGTTAATTGAGAAGCAACTTAAGTTTGGTGACCATGTTTTGACATAAGTATCATGATGCACAGGTCTTGAGTTACCATTGCATATTAGAGTTGTACATAAGATTGCTCCTGACAACACTTTATTGTATGGTCAAAACCAAGTGACCAAACTTTTTTATGCATCTCACTCAATTAATAATTATAGTATGTATATAATGGCTCATAGCTTTGAGGATGTTCATGGAAATATGGATAACTAAGCTGAAGAGCGAGAAAGGATTAAAACCATTTAAAAACTCAATCAGGTTTCTTTGTTGACCCAGGGCCACTGCTCCTTCCTTGGCTCCCCTGATATTCTCTTATTCTTTCACGGCAGGTGTTCCATTCCCAAAGAACTTTCTGTCCATCGCCAAGACAATCCTCAAACGACTGTTCAGAGTTTATGCACACATATACCACCAACACTTCCTCCATATTGTAGGACTTGGGGAAGAGGCTCATCTAAACACGTCCTTTAAGCATTTCATGTTCTTTGTTCAAGAGTTTGGTCTGGTTGACAAAAGAGAGCTGGCACCGCTTCAGGAACTTATAGAAAAACTCACAAACAAGGATAAAGTTTAGTTTTCTCTTACTTTGCATTAAAAAATGTTGTTGGTAGTGTATACTTGTACAAAATTTGATTTAGTGTTGGAGCAAACTTAGATTTTCAGGGCAATGTAGTTAAGGTTACCTAATAATCTACTTTAGCTTATGGCATATAGCTATTAAACTAAAAAAAAGTAACTTTTCATGGTGTAAAAGTGCTAAATTTAACTACAAAAAAAGATAAATTGCCAATTGTTTCATTTCTGTATTTGTCTATATCATGCTGAATGTCAACATAAGTTTAAAGTCAAATTATAAATAGTTGGTTCAGTAATGAATTTTAGTCTTAATATCTAGACATCAATTTCCAGTTCTGTCTGTCATTTATTTTCCACAGATGGGGAGTTTTCTTTGGGTATTTGCATGAAGGTTATGTTAATGCAAACAGAATTTTAGTAGTCTCTATATTTTGTATGCATGCAGTGTTATTTCAGATGCTATTAGGTTAATTTTATGTGAAATTAGAGTTAAGGCACTTCAATTAGTTAATCACAGTAGTACTGCACTTTTCAGTGACATACATGAGGTGTAGACTCAGCTTTGAAAATGTGTTTCATACTGCAGTCAATCATGTAATGAACCATTCAGGAAACACTGTACATAGTTTCAGAGGCTTCAGAAAGGTCACAACTCAAAGGATTAATCAGGGTATCTTTATCCACTTTCTTTGTGTCTGCCTATAAGTGGCTGTTTCCATGATAATTTACTGCAGTAAGTGAAAAAGCCAGTGTAAATTCATATGCTATTTAAATGTGGGGTAGTGTACATGTCCATGTACTCAGTCATGTTTGAATCTTTCATCAATATAAGGATATGTTTTGTACATGTGTTCATTTGGATGATCACCAATGTGTAAGGTGTTTTGCCAGACTTGACTTTTCAAACATACTCAAAGGTATTGCTGGCATTAATTACGTGTCTTTTTTTACTGTGTACGTGTCCAAAAATTTCATCTTTCCATCAAAGACAAATTCAGAGAAAGTGTTGGGGAAGGGCTTAGAATCATAATGTGAATTTAGTGGCAGTGTTCTTTATATTCCTGACACAATTCTTCATGGGAGTTCTTTACTTTTGATCACGTCTCCTTATCATTTTGTCTTTTCATTTCACAATGTATTTTTCAAATGATTGGGTTTATGATTGAATATCACTTTTATTTTGTAGTTTATTTTGATGTCTAGGGTCTACAGTCAGTCTCTGTTGTCAAATTCTGAACCAAAATGAAATACTTTGGAGTTCATTTCATTTCTGATTTGGAACCAATATGATTGACAATCCTTAAATTGATCAGTCAGTGGAAAATAAGTTTTGTTTTCCACAAAATTAAGAGTTGTCTGAGAGGTAAGTCTTGAGAAAGAAATTAAAACTTAGATACTGTAAAGAGAAAGAATGTGTTGTGCTTTGAGTACATAACCAAATGTTTTCTGAATCAAAGGTTTTGTGTCACATGTATGATTACCTTTCTTTTATATATAGTTTAATTAAGTGCTATGTACAGTCATCTTTAGGATTCAGTTATGTAGTACACATTGTCACTTGTTTAATTGGTATACCTTTGAAATAGTCTTCTTAATCCATGTCCACAACAAAACTTATATTTTTTAAAAATTGGAAGTAACCATATGCTAGCACATTGTATTTCAGGAAATATTCCTTAGTAAGGGATTGGTAAAGTTCATTTCTAGATCAAGTTTCCATCACTAGCTGTTGGGTAACATGTTTTATTTTATTTCCTTCAAAAAAAATAAATCCATCAATCATTAATTCATCGTTTCAGTTATTGTAAACTATGACACATAAGTATGTTTAGGATAAATCTTGGTCAAGAGTTCCTTTGTTGATATGTAACACTAAATGGTTTTTTTCTTTCTTGTGAATTATTTTATAAATGTAGTAAAATATGGATTGATATTAGTTTTATATGGATCTCAAATGGAAGACTGTGCACAACAATGTATTGGAACTTGCAACTAATTTCTCAAATACAGATAATATTGTAAAGTTTTGATATAGTTCTGTAATAAATGTTGGTTATTTTCAGTGATGATAACATCCCTTTTTGAAGTAAAGGAAACATAAAAAAATGGAGCACTTATTCTCTGAAATAACTTTTTGGGATGATGGTGCCGATTTCATCTCCCTATCATTCTCCTGATCACAAATGCGACAGTGGCAGAAGTGACGAGGTTACAGTAGACTAACCCCAGTCTTTATGAGCATAATTTAATCTGAAACCCCTTACTGAAAAATTAGAATTACTGTTCTCAAATACCCGAGGATACAGCTAAGATCAAGACAACAGTTGCATTGAAAGTTAACAGTGCAGATGTTCAGATAAAAACACAATGGATTGGATTTCGAGGCAAGACCAATAGTGCTATTCCCAAAACTTTAACTGGATAAGTGGTTTAGGAGTCCGGGACTTTTAGAAAACAAAGCCCTAGACTCCTGCCAAGTCTACTGGTCTACTAAAAACAGTAATGCATTGGAGGTTTTCTTTCTTCCACTTTGTTAAGTTATAATTTAATTTCTTTTGATAACTAGCTCTTCACTGCGGTTTGCTATTCATCCTTCCTGGCCCCTACTTCTCTTTACTTGGCAACCATAACAGTTTTTATTTCTATGGAATTTTCTTCGTGTTACGATTTTCCATGCCCTGTACCCTCCACTTGAGAGGAATAGGTAACACATTTCTTCAGGTTGCACATTACGGTTACAGAAGGATCAGTGGCTCAACCAGCTTATTTCAACCTTTACATCCCAACCTCACAGAATGCATCTTCTCCACACTTTTCTCCATTCATTTCCCAAAGTGTTGATGAGAGGAATTTGTTTCACAATCAAGAGCTACTTTAGTTGGTGATCATTTCCTTTCTTCTCATTAACTTTTACAAGTGATCCAAGGGTGATGTTGTAAGGGATAAGTTAAATGCTCGAGTCATTCTTTGGAGTTAAAGAACTAAGGAAAAAAGTATGGTATATTTGATTGTTCTGAGACCTTAAAAAAATAATGAAACAACCTCAACAGTTTTACCAGCAGAAAAGAAAGCCTACCTATAAGCTTAATCAAATGTTGAGAGGGGCACAAGGAAACAAAACAAAAAAACCACAACAAAACAAATTTATGAAAAGACCAATCCCTGTCCTTTAATTCCTTTTGGATTATATACTTCAATGGCATCATAAAATTAACCATAAAAACAAAAACAAAAAAATAAGACCAACCGTTCATTAGATAATAAATAAACATAATTTAGTTTGGTTGTAATTTGCTACAGGTCCTATACTGCTCCTTCTGCTCATTAATATAAAATAACTTTTCCTTTCTCAGACTAATTTTCCCGAAACAAGCTTGCTGCTTTTTACAGCAAAATACAAGAGCCGCATTAGCAAATACAATTACCCTACACGCTATGCATTTTGAATAAATGAAAATACGTATATTAAACTAAGGCAGTGATAATTTGTGTTTTTCTGTTTGGTGTATTTATATTTGGAGGCTTTGAAAATCTAGTTTCAAATACAATCATGTGTCCACTCCATGGGTCACTTTCCTCTTTGTGTTTCCAGATGTAAGAATGGCAAATTCAGTTAAAAAGCTAACTTCTTAGGAACTTCCCATGTGAAGCCAGGGCCAGGTTTGAAATGACCATAGATGCATGAGTCTTGATAGATGGGATTCTTTAGCTTGAGGTCTCTAAAGGACAGAAAAAAAAAAGGAAGAAAATTTACCAAATCAACAAGGCTTATGTAGTCAACTATAAAGGTACACTTTTCAATGGAATATCAAACATGCTTCAATCTTTAAAGGAACACAATTCTTTCAAGTTCTAGAATAACAAAAAGGAGAGTACAACTTGTCCCAATAATAAAAATTTTATCAATAAAGTATAATTAGCCTACAGTACTCAAAATTGTAGAATAATTCATCATCAAATTTGAAACTTGAGTTGACCAATACACAAAGTTTTAAATAATAGACATTTTGAGCACAAAAATAATAAATATTTAAAATTAAATGATAAACAGCTCAACAGAACTCACTTCACAATCATTCCTGGACGGAGGTCAAAGTTTTCCCTAACAATTTTCAAGAGTTCATCTTCAGATTTCTTGCCAGTTCCATAAGAGAACACTGTGATTGAGAGAGGCTCTGCGATACCAATGGCATACGAGACTTGAACAAGAGCACGACGGCACAGTTTAGCAGCTACAAGAGACTTGGCAATCCACCTTGCTGCATAAGCACCAGATCTATCAACCTGAAAAGTGCCAGTCATGTTATTTAGGTTACAAGACATAAGCACATTTTTTTTTTCCGGAACAAAATTATTGTTCTCTGTATTTTTAAAGATCAACAAATTGAAAAATTAATGACTAGTCTACGAAAACGCCTTTGGAGGAAGGTTCATATCTATCAACCGTGACCCCTTCCGAGTGGTCACTGGAAGCTAGTAAACAGTGCAAACCTGCCGGCTGTCTGACCATTTTGCAATGGCTACTAAGTAAGTGGTGATCAAAGACAAAATTTGGCTGGCTGAATAAAGTTGCTCAAATTAGTCAAAGAATGTTGGAAATCTCATTACAGTGAGTTTCAAATTTCAAAGTTTTTCAATGAACATGACCCCTGACCTGAGTTGCAATACACCATGCTTCCTGTGCTGCACAAGCATAATTCAATTCAATTGCCCGCTCTGTTCAGATCACACATATATTACTTTTTCTAATGACAAACCTGCCCCTTTATCTCTTTAAAGTGACCCAAGGGACTTCAATAACGAGGTCAATACACCATCTGGCTAACAGGGAATGCAAATGTACACTAAAATGTCAGCTAGAGGACATGAAGAACAACTAAATGTAGAGCACAGAGAAGAGAGAAAATCACACCTAATTATGGAAGTTTTAGGGTTGTATCAATATGACAAACCTTAGTGTAGTCCTTTCCAGAGAAGGCACCACCACCATGTGCTCCCCATCCACCATATGTGTCTACAATGATCTTCCTTCCTGTCAGACCAGCATCACCCTGAGGACCTCCAATCACAAATGCACCAGAAGGTTGAAGATGGTAAATAGTACTATCATCAAGATATTTAGGAGGGACAACCTCCTGCAAACAAATAGAGGAAAAATTCATTTATTTTTCTCTGTTAGTCGCTCACTGGTTCTGCAATATTTGCTATTGATTTCCAGGTGTTTGGTCTTGTGCCAAGTTTAATTTCTCTGTGTCTGTTGCAAGTTTCTAATTAGTTATCAGCAAGCCACTGATCAGAATGTGGTTTAATAAACAGCTTTTTAAAAAACAGTAATTAATAAGTCAAATGATCAATTACAGGAATAAAAAGTTATCTCTGTTGTACAACCAATACACATGATAAAAGGTACCCTGTATCAATGAATTTTAACCCTTCAACTATAACCTGTATTATGATAACCACTTTAAAAAAAGGCAATTTTAAGTAAACTGAGCCACACTGATGAACATGGGTACTTGACCAGGGATTCTCAATAAAATGCAAGGAGCTCCTTGTAAATTATCTATGTAAGAATTTTTTCACCAACATACATTGATGATTTTTTCCCTAAGCTGCTTCCTCTGTTCTTCCAATGTGATATCTGGTTCGTGCTGAGTGGAAATAACGATGGTATGAACCCTGAGAGGAATAGCTGCACCTCCTTCAAATTTATACTCTACAGTGACTTGAGTCTTAGAGTCGGGTCGTAGCCAGGACATAGATCCATCACGCCTCTTCTCTGCAAGCTTTCGGTTAAGGTTGTGCGCTAAGACCACTGTCAGAGGCATAAGTTCCTCTGTCTCATCAGTGGCATAGCCAAACATGAGACCTTGGTCACCAGCACCAATATCTTCCTCCTTTCTTCCCGTGTGGACACCCATGGCAATGTCAGGGCTTTGCTGTTCAAGGGCAACTAATACATTGCATGTCTTGAAATCAAAACCTGAAAACCAACAAACAAGTGTACTTCAGTGAAAAGATATTTAAAAAGATAAATATTCATTGTTATGAATTTGTCCACAATCATTTATAAATAAGTTATATAGAAGTTAAACAAGAACAGACAACACAAACAGAAATTAAGTGATTATAACTTATAATGGTAAGAATACAAATTAGGGCCAGAAAGTGTTAGTTTACTTTCATAACAAACATTCATACCTTTGTTCGAGTCGTCATAACCAATTTTCTTGATAGTATCACGAATAACCTTCTGATAATCCACAACAGCCTTGGATGTGATCTCGCCACACACAAGAATCATACCTGTCTTGGAAACAGTTTCTGTTCACACAAGGAAAAAAAACCAACAACACTTGTTATATACTTATACTTTCACTCAACAAAATGAGCACCGTTATTGGTTGATTCTTAGTCATGTGCCCCTGATCAAATTCAAAAATATCCTGACCAGGATACAATTGGGCAGTTGTTGCCCACATGCCGAATACAACAGCGTGTTTGTTTGGAGTACTGATGTTTCCTGAGACTAAGTCAAGGGAAACATCTGAACTCTCAAGAAAACAAAACTAACTGTTTCCCCTGGGACCATACATTAAGTGTTACCAATGCATGATAATTATTTTACTTCAGCAAAATATGAACCAGGACCCCGCAATCAACTTGCATGACTGCTCCCATCACTTCTGCCTCCGAGAGGAGGCGAAGCCATATATGTTGTCAAGATGAGCAAGTGTAACAGCAGAATTCCAATCTTGACCCTGTTTTGACTTAATGTTTCCCTGTGCTACTTGTCATTTATTTCTGATTATCTTGGTAGTTCAACATTTGCACTTGATACCCAGTTAAGTTCTCTCTTTTTGCGATTTCTAGCTCAAAACCACTAGCAAATTATGTTTTCAGTTCTTGCCTAGACACTACAAAAGACAGCAGAAGACAATAAATATCTCCCAATCATTTCAGGATTGCAGGCTATTAAAACAAAAGTTTCCTTTTAGAAATATCTTTATAAATAGTAGAAGTTATGTGTGAAATGTATAGAGAGCATTTTACCGTTTCTGCAATTTATAAAGCTTCGAAGATATAGTCTTTTCAGTTTTTGCCATGACATTTCAAAATGATGATAAACATCTCAAAATAATTTTACAGTGGTATCCACCAGTGCACACAATTTAAATTGAAACTTTTCCTTGCAGAAATATCTCAACAGACGTGATCTGCACATCATGGAAGCTTTGAGAACAAATTTTTTTTGAAAAGAGATCACTTTACTGTTTGAATCAGCAACTTTTGCCAACATTGGTGAGTGAGCTAGCTGTGAAATATATCTTGAGTAATTCAATAGAATGATGGAAGGGAGGATCAGCAGAATGAAAGAAGATCTTAAGATGCACAATAATGGAATATCCTAAAATGTTGAATGCCTTTTTGTATTAAAAATCATAATGTATCACAACTCTTGTCATCCTTACTGTTATTGTAAATATTATTATTAGTTACTATTTAATTGGTAGTTGAACAATTAGACAATACATTCTTGAATCATCTTTCTCTTGTGGAACAGTGTACTTATAAAAATGTGAAATGCAGCAGGGTTTCTGTTTTGCATGTGGAACAAATATTCTACAATACTACCTTCTAGGGTAAGGTAAGGTAAGGCAAGGCAAGGCAAGGCAAGGCGAGGCAAGGTAACTTTATTTATACACGATATGTATAAAAGCTGAAAGCTTGTGGGGTCGTGTACAATAAATTACTTTGATATTAAAAAATAGATAAAATGTTTTTTACAAAAATTACAATACATTACTTAGATCAGTAGTTAAAATGAACTTTTACATTATATATCTATAAGACATAGAAAAACTAACTTAATTTCAATTATATACAAAATCGTTTTGTTCAAAACTAGCAGTCGAGGTGGATAATACGTTACATTTAGTGGCCTTAAAAAGATCAGAAGTTTTGAGCTTTTATACAAGGTTACAAAGGCTTGTGTCAGCAAGGTCAGTGTATCTGGAAGACAGCATATTCCTAAGGACAGTGCCACTGTATGCAACAGAGTCCTTCATAAAACGAGTGTTAAAACATGGTACCAGTAATGAATCACATGCTCTCATTGAGTATGACAGATTACGTTTCTTCACAATACAGTTAGTTAGGGTGCTAGGCAGCCTTCCGTTATAAGCCTTATGCATGAATTTAAAAATAGCTAGTTTATAATAAAAACGAATAATGAACCACTCTGCACGCTCCAGGACACCATGAGATGCCATATCTTTCAGTAAATTGAAAATAATTCTAGCCGCTCTGCAATGTAGCCTTTCTAAAAAATCTAAATTATCGGAGTTGCAACAGGCACCCCATATAATAAGGCCATAATTCAAGCTGGGAAAGATAACCCTCAAATAAAAATCCTGTAACATTATTCTTGGCAGAAACCTTAGCTTTTTGAGTAAGCATAGTTTATTCACAAAGCTCTTCTTAAGTTCCAGTGTATGAAGGACCCAGCTGAGTTTATGGTCAACTGTCATCCCCAGTAAGCGTGTTTGATTACCCATTTGATAGTGTGTCCTCCGATGAAGATCGAAGAAATAGGCCCTATAGGGTTACTTCTGCTGATGAGCATTGCTTTGCTTTTACCTAGGTGGGGTGTTAGCTTGTTAGCGAGACACCATGAATACAGCTTGTGCATTGCCAAGTTTAGTTGTGCAGTGGCTTCATCTGCTGATGTACCGATGCAATAAATGGTAGTGTCATCAGTAAACATATACACCGATCCTGACACTACAGATGTTGGCAAGTCGTTCGTAAACATTGAGAAAAGCGTAGGTCCCAAAACTGACCCTTGCAGTATACTGTATGACACTGGAAGTATTCCTGAAGGAACACCATTTACAATTGTCACTTGCTGCCTGCCCTTTATACAACCTTTAGTTCTTTTCAATACAAAAAAAATTGTGTATATCAGTTGCCACGTCCAGTCTTTGAATGTCTATTTTGTGTTATTGAATAAAGGTAAACAGTTTGACCTGTAATATGAATTTAGTGAAGCCAATTTTGTAAACAATTACCTCTCTACATGACCGCGTCACTATCTCGTGTTCAGTTATGGCATAGAATTTTATAATTTATTTCTCCAGCCGAGGGCATAACTTTCAGAAAACAGGCATAACTACCACAACGGGCTTTTTCTTGTTATTCTGGCGCAACTGGAAATAGAAATCCATTTCATACCGAAACAGGTCTTTCGAGATATGTGAAGTGCGAAATTTATGGTGATGCACTTAATGAATCAAAAAATCTGATCAGATTCGTACTTTCGCGATCGATTTGAAGTGCATCACCACAGTTGTGTCAAAATATTCACGATCTATGTTTTAAGGCATAATAAAATTAAAATTAGGCGAATATGCGTAGTCGTCATTTCTCCGAAATAAAATTAGTAGTACTACGTGCGTAAAAGTTTATAACGTGTCGTGTTTACATCTGAACCGGTTTAGCAAGAGTTGGACCAAGTTTTACGCAGGAGATACCAAAAAAAATACGACACAAAAAAACCGCAAAAAACGTAAACATAGAATGGAAAATTTTCCTTTAGAAAGCATAAATTGTGAGAAAGTTAAAAAAGCTTCGGCATAGACTCGTGCGATTTTCCCAAATATTGAATATATCTTATTACGCAATTTTACTTGGTCCCGGGAAACTACTGCCATGTGTATAGGAACGGTTGGCCACCAAAAGTACGCTTTGCCACGGAGACAAGAAATCGAGAAAACACAATAAATAAAGAGATCTTCAAACAACGAGGATTCGGTGTAATATGGGGAAGACCAACCGTAATTGATTATTTCGGGGAAATCAGTTCTTCTGACCTCATTCGCAAAAAGCTCTCCCCTTGCCTAAACAAGGCAAATCGTAGTTTATGAACGAAATTAGACATTTAACAAATTTCATTCAACAGCCGATGTTTCAATTCAGCTTTAGTGATCAGATTGGCCTTCTCAAACTGGTGTGTTATCGGCAAGTTTCGACCGCCCAGCATTTCAAGCAGGTTCCGAGCTCTAGCACAACAACTAGTTGCGTACACTTTTGTTGTTAAAACAAAGCTAACCCTGACCCACTCTTCCTTCACTTACCGCACGCGACTTTAGCATCAGGATCCTGTTCAAGATGAGCATCCAGGATAGCATCAGAAACCTGGTCGCAAATCTTGTCTACGAAGAAATAACACATGTCGGTCAAAATTGAAAGTTGAGGAGATGAACTTCTATGTCACGATGGGACATTTAATGGCAACCTGTGCAGAAAAGGACGAGAAGATGATGGGCAAAGAATTAAAACTTACCAGGATGTCCCTCACCAACGGACTCAGAGGTGAAGAGGAAAGTGTTGTTCTGTGTATCTGTGGTGTTCATCTTAAATCGCTTCGGTGAAGGAGAAATAGAATCTTCGCTAGAGTTCGCGTTATTTAAAATGTAACTCATGCCAGCTTTCCACCCTTTCTTGTATAGTTTCTTGGTGACCGCCCGATTCCTCTGGTATACTGGAACTAGCTATCTGATTGGCCAAAACTGTCAGCATGAAAAATGATGTGAGACCTTTCTCCTTTTAGATCATTGGCGCACGTGAGTAGTGAATGACTGAGAGACAAATTTCACTAACATTCAAATTATTATTTCTGCAGAAATAGCCTCCGGAGGACAAAAAACATCGGCAATTTCTCTATTGAGGTCGTAAGCCATCTTGTTTACGATACTTTTGTTAGCTCTTTTTGAATAAAAAGCTAGGAATGTGCAGACCATTCATTAATTGCGAAACTTGCGGGATTTTCAGTGAAATTTGCATTGCGAAATAAATGTTGAGTGGATTCTTGTGTGACTTACAAAGTAATTTTACGATCGCAGGTAAAGTTACGTAAGGTCAGCTTTGTTCCGCGGGGGCGACCTATCTTACATTCGAACATATTAGGCACAGACTGAAGGCTAACGCCTGAAATGTCTGTTGTGTGAGCTCTTTACAGAATTAACTACGTACCCACGCTGCAGCACCGGTAAAGACAGCCTAAGGACGATTCAATGTAGGTAGATGGTCATTTACTGCAGCTAGAAATGTGCCGCAGATTACCAATTATGGAAATAAATTTTTCTTCTACCTTGACTCTGCCAACGAGTTGTAGGAAGAGAGCACTCCCGAGGAGTCACCAATAAAAGGTCATTGAATAATTTCTAAGTCTCAATACCCTCTCCTATGTCTTAATAGTTTCTGACGCGGGACCAACTCACACCTTTTGCATTCAAGGTATGACTTCGTTGAATGCATCTGTTCCCACTGCCCGAAAGTATCATCGAGACCTTCGAAGAATGGGTTATTCATTTTGCTACGAGGTCGCTTGAATAAGAAAGAAGATGAATTCAGTCAGGTATAATTTTTATTTCAATGTGGTGTCATTTACGGTTTGCCTCGCAACGCAAACAGTCACAGTGTTGCGTGACATACAAAAGATAAAGTCTTTTCTTTGAGTTCTAACGTTTCTGCGCAGTAAAGAGTAATTTATACGCAGACACATCACACCCGCTGAAATCGTAGAAGTACGCACAATGTAGAAGACGAACGTCTTGGCTCAATGATCTGATGCAGCATCCCAAAAAAAACATGAGAAGTCATGAAGGTTCGACTTCCGAGTCCCTCTTACTAGAAGCGTTCGGAACTTTTTTTTGTACCTATGCATTTTTAGTCACAGCTAATCCAAGGGTTAACGTCAAAATTCCGCTTTGAGTATGAAAATGTACATCTATAAATGACCGGTTTTTTGAATGTCTCTGTTCTGTTTGGGAGCCACTCTATGACAGTTACACCCAGGATAGAAGCGACACCGAGAGCAACTCTAATTTTGAGCCCGCAATACTGTAGAATGTTTCAACATGGCGACCTCGAAAGGTGCGAACACATACAATCGTCAGAATTGGGAAAACGCGGCAAGTAACTTTGTTGTTCGTCTTATGTAATTTAGTTGTGAAGTATCTAGATAATAGCTGCTGTAGGCTTTGATACCTAGATGTTTTCTGGTGGCTTCTGCGGTCAAGTGTGCTGATCATTAATTCACGTGCTTTCACGCTGCCATAAGTTTATGCATTATATGTGAACTTATTTCTTCACTATTTTACCCTAGTCCCTCTACCCGATCAAGTCTACTTTATTCTCCTACATAAATTTTATTAATCGTCTTATCACCTCGTACTTATCAGTCACAAATAATATTTTCGAAAGTTCCTTCCCAGATCATGTTATCTTGGCAATTGCTCGAGTAGCATCTTTACTAACGTATCCTAAATGCCATGTCATTTCAGGAGTTTCCCATTCTTTGTCAAACATGTCTTGGCGATAATCCTTATGTGCGAATGGTTAAGTATCATTATCCTGTTTTTGGGATATAAGATTTAATGTTTTCATAAGGACTGTTGAATTTGTAATCAGGGCGACAATGTTGTGATCAAGGGAAAATCAAAGGGACATAACTGGGAGCAGATTGTATCTGATGGGGCGTATGACCATGACTTGTGATCTTGTGAAAACTAGATTAGGTTGTTTGAGTGGTACGCACCCACAATGTTTGAGGAATGCCATATTGGTATTATAATGGCTGGTTCCTCCACTTCTGCTTTTGTTTCAACTGTACAGTTTCCACCTAATCATAGCTGTTGCAGCTAAATCAGTAGAAAATGGAGAGATCCTGATTTTCTGACAATAAAATATTTTAATCATTTTACTCTACTTTTAAGCTATTTTTTCATTGATTGACCCGCTCAGTACTTCATTACCTAGACAGTGAAAAATAATTCATTTGAGTTCAATATCTTCTTCTTGCTATTATTCACAGACAAGGGAAACATATGGCAGAGAATGTAAGGTGGGTTGAATTGATTGAGTATAGACAGAACTTAAATTCTTTGGTCAGAGAGGATTTTTATTATTTCAAATGTTTTGACCATTAACTCCTAAGATCTGATTGTCAATTCTCCCCTCTTACTGCTACACATTTCCTTGGTGTTAGATCAAGATGAAAACTTCTACCAGTTAAGTTTGAGTATTCTAATTACCTGTTTCGTGGTCTTTCCTGGATAATGTATGCAATTGGATATTATAAGGAGATGTTATTTGTCAATCACCTCTTGTAGTTATAGGGTTAAAAAAAAGGATAACAATGTATTTTTGCAGTTTCAAACAGTGTATGAGCTCAGTGCCTTTATTAGTTTAACCTCCACAATACTTTGTTGTTGTTTGTTCAGATATGTGCCCGACCATTCACAGTTTTTCGTTGGTGTCCTGGAGCACGAATGAGGTTTAAAAAGACAGAAGTCTGTCAGACATGTTCAAAGCTAAAGAATGTTTGTCAAACATGCTTACTTGATCTTGAATATGGTGAGTTTTGTTACAAAGGAAAGTGTTCATTGCAACTGTACATAGGAAATAGTGCTTCACCAATTGACTCAAGCTTTTGTACTTTAAAAACTGCTGACAACGAGGGTAAAGAAATCCTACAGTTTTGTGATGTCTTGGGATAAAATCACAGGTGAAATGTACTGTTTGATCATAAAGAGAGAGTTAGAGTTTATGAATGTTATATCTGTGCAAAGGATGTAAAGCCCATAAAGGAACCAATATGTCAAAGAGTTCCATTTATTGAAGTTCTGTAAGAGCTTGAGAGGCCATTAGCAATTGTCTTTACTAATCATAATGTGACATAGCCAGCAATTGCACAAAAGAGTTTGACTTGCAAGTACTCTTTTGTTCACTGTGCTGCTTGTCAATTCAATGTTTCATTTTTATTTAGACTAAACACAGAAATATGACTGAAATGTAATTTTCAAATATTTAAATTGAGGCATCAATTTTTGCAACAGTTTTTTTCCCTTCTAATCCATGTCACACCAGGTTTGCCAGTACAAGTCAGGGACCATGCCCTTGGTATGAAAGATGATGTTCCAAAATCTGATGTTAATAAAGAGTATTACACTCAGAATGTAGAGAAAGAGGTATGTAGCTATAATTATTGAGATTTTTTATTTACTTGCTTATTTTTCCAGCTTGGCAATGATTTTCCTGTTAATGCAATGCAGAAATGTACAACTTACAACAACATTGTGTTAAATTTGGGAAAAGTGAGTTTATGCTTGTAATTTTGGTACAAGTATAGTCAGTTCTTATAGTGTAAACATGATTAAGTTTGAATTAATATTGTTGGAAAAACAAAATTAAATGTATTAGTGGGGAACACCTGAACTTGTTGAACTGTAATAAGGAATTTGAGGAAAATGACATCTTATTCTTCTTGTTCATAAACAGTGAACAAAGATAAAATTTGAATCTTTCACATAGAATCATAGTGATAAAGTTATGTTGATTCATCTTAAGTTAGCAAATTCAGATGGCACCACACCTGGTGGAACACTTGGTAAAGCCAATGCACCTAGTGACTTGCTATTGAAACTGGCCAGGACTACACCCTATTACAAAAGGAACAGACCTCACATCTGTTCCTTCTGGGTGAAGGGGGAGTGTAAGCGTGGAGATGAATGTCCATACAGGTACTGCTACTATTGAGATCTTGATAAAGTTGTGATGTTACATTCACCTCCAACTTTTCTTTAGTGTTCCCTTTGGAACTGCCTCTATCTATGTTGCTTGAACACTAACCACATCATAATGTTCAACTTTATAACTGACAGAGTCTCTGAGACATACAGACCACCCAACCACATTGTAATGTACCCTCTTTATGTATACCTGTTTTCAAAATCATTGCAATTTGTAAATATACATGAAATATATATATCTTTTGCTTTCTCATCAAAGAGACAATTTTTGACAAGAAAACAAAAGATATATTTATTTAATTAATATTTTCAATGATGCAATGTTTTTTATAAAAATGGGTGTATGTATGTGTATATATATGATTATATGTACATATTTGATCATCTGTCTGATGATGCAGATCGCATAAGAGAAACTCACAGTCAGAAAAAGTTGTCTTATTGATTAGTTCAACCTTCAGATATACCATGCTCTGCAATCACATCAAGCACTATACTGCAGGCATAGATTATAACCAAGATTTATATATATATATATATATAGCTAGTTATTACATCTCTCTTGGCTTATTTCAGGCATGACATGCCCACAGACCCCAATGACCCTTTAGCTGATCAAAATATAAAGGATAGATACTATGGAATGAGTGATCCAGTAGCAACTCGGTTACTCAAACAGGCATCTTCAATGCCATCCCTTGAGCCTCCTTCTGACAAGTCCATCACTACTCTGTATGTAGGAGGATTAGAGGGAAAGGTAGAGGAGGGTGATTTAAGGTGAGTAAGTTGGTTGAGTTCACACCTGTTTCAGATTGAGAGTTAAACTGTAGAATGAACACATAACCATAACACAACAGGTGTTACTGTTACATTAGGAAAAATGTTTGGTCTACTAGCATTCCATCCAGAAATGATAGAACTTCACAGGAATAGTTGCTCTACACTATGGAAACCAGAAAAACATACTTCAAATCAAAGTATGGGTGCTTAACATAGCCAGAGAGTTCTGTAGATTATTGATGTGTTAAATATGAATACTATTTTCAGGGACTACTTTTACCAGTTTGGTGAGCTTCGATCCATAACAATGGTTCCAAGACAGAATTGTGCATTTGTCTGTTTCACTGCACGAGCATCTGCAGAAACAGCAGCAGAACGCTCTTTTAATAAACTTATCCTTAAAGGACGGCGACTGAAAATCATGTGGGGCAAGTCACAAGGACAGCAACCTGCCCCTGGAAAACAAGGAGGCTCTTCTCTAGCCCCAGTGCCAGGATTGCCTGGAGGTTGGTATTGTGTCATTCTCTTTATTATGTGTGTGTAGGAGATTTTCAAGATTTTGTTTAGCCTTTTCTTCACCCTTTAACTCCTTGAATAGCAATGCAACTGCTTGTGTTCAACTTTGAGCCCTTTGACTGCTAAGGTCTGAAAATTAACACTCAGCACTCTTTACCCTACTTTTCTTGTAACTTAAGCTTGAAGAATTTTTTGGTGGAATCACACAATATCTCCTGTTTGATAGAAATCTTCCTTTTCATCACCTTTTTACAATAAGTGTTCGGATATGGTAAGGAGAAATTCCTCTTTGGTTGCTCCCAGGAGTGTAAAGGTTAGATTAAAGAAATTTCCTCCCTCCTGATCTGTTTTCTTCATTTTCTTTTTCAGCTCTTCCACCACCTCCTGCAGATGACAAAAGCCAAGCAAACTTTTTCAACCTCCCTCCATCCTCAGCACCACCAGCAGGTCCCCTCTCTGCTATACCACCCACCTTACCTCCTCCTCCTGGGGGGCTTCCAGGCATGCCTCCTCCTCCAATGGGGCACCCTTTACCTCCACCACCAGGTGGCTACCCACCCCCTCCTCCATTTGGTCATCCACCATTCAGACCACCTCCCATACCTTTTTATGGGGCACCACCCCCACCTCACATGCCTCCTCCTCCTAGACATGGTTTGCCACGCCTTCCACCTGGTCCTCCACCAATACACTATCCATCTCAGGATCCTCATCGTCTGGGTGCAGGGAAAAGTGGGGAAGGAGGTACTCGTCCACCAGCCCCAGCAGCTGCGAGCTCTTAGACTGCTTATCAAGAAAGTGTAACTACAGCTTAATTTGCACAGAACACAGTACCAGTATTTGGAACAGACCACAATGAAACAAGCTCTTTACAATTTAATGAAGTGTACATATATTTGTACACAGGGGACACTGGAACTTTGTTGAAGCATGTGATAGTACAGGAAGAGGTCTTTGAGTTATGAATGTAGTAGAATCTGATTCTTGTCCTTAAAGTAAGCATTTTAACAGTGTACTTTCTCAGTTATTCTCTTAAATTGTGAGAAAGAATACACAGAACTGTCAAGCAGCAAGAGTGAAGGTGTCATAGTTAAATTTCTTCCTGTGGCTGTTCTGCTTTCAAGGCTCCTTTTATGTGAATAGTAAAGGGCAGTTTAGGGTAACTCTGTAGCTTTCTTGATTAGCAAGAAGTTGTTTTCATTTACAATTCTTACATTTGTGTGATTTTTTTTACTGGTTACTGCCAACTTTCAATTCTATGCATCATTTGTTAAAGTTTTTTAGCCAGGTGAAGTTGTTGAGGGATTAAAATATTCCATTAACTTTCAATTTCAGCTCTTTGCTTGACATTTGTATTGTAGGGCGTTTTTTTAAAAAAACTCAGTCAGTTCAAAGAAAGTTTTCCCTCATGAAGATTGTTCAGAAATGATTGGCTTTGTGCTACTTGTGGAACTGTTCACTAAGCAGTCCAATATTACTCTGTTGGAAAATTTTGCTTACATATTTATACACATATCTTGTTTTCCTAGTGTTTTATTTACTGGAAATCAACTGATGTGATTTTCAAAGTGTCTCATCTTTCCCTTCTGAAACAAAATCTTAACAAATCTCATGAATGTAATCAGTTTTCAAAGACATTCAGATCAGTTTGTATCACAGCTATGTAGAACTACATAGAAAGCTTGTGTCATTTGAACTTGAAACCAAACTCCAGGTTATATTGTTTAAAACCTCACTGCACCCCAACCATTATAAATAGTGTGTCTTCAACATTATTGATATCAAGCACCTCCCACTAAATGTCAATGCATGTTACAATGTTTTTTTGATAACGCCATTATTCTTACTTATCAAATCTTAAAAAATCCATGTTTTAGGAGGGGTTTTTTCCTGAAACCCACAAGCTATTTCAAGTTAATTCAAGTAATTGTACAATCAGAGAAATCCACTAAATACAAAATTTGTACTTTTTTGGAAAGTTTATTTAAATTCACACATTTTTCTGATTTACAAACAATTCACTCTTTCCTGAAACCCACAAGCTATTTCAAGTTAATTCAAGTCAATGTACAATCAAAGAACTACACTAAATACAAAATTTGTACTTTTTTGTAAAGTTTGCTCAAATTCATGTCTTTTTCTGACTGACAAACAATTCCACAGTTACATTTGTACATGAAACAAACAGGCAAATTTCCAGTGCCATGAGCAAGTTACTAGCCATAATGGTCAATACTTGGAATTCACAATCATTTGCATTTTTCATACCCACTGATCACATTCAGTCAGTTCTCCAAAGACAACTGTTTCTGAACATTTGAAGATGACAGCTAATGTACACTATTGTTGCAAGCTAGTACATGGACCTCGCTCCTTCCATTAAATCCTTTCACTAATTTGTAATTTACTCTACACTGACAAGCAACAAATCAATTTTCCTGGCACTGTGTTCATTCTGATCTTTGAGTTCAACATGATTATCATCTAGTCCTCAGCAGATTGTTTCTTACCATGCAGAGTGGTATATGCAAAGTGTTTTCCACAGTGCCAAATGGCCTGCATCAGTCTACTAAAACCTGTATCCTTTGGCTGAAAATCAAAAGCAAAGAGACAGCATTAGCCTCAACATGAAGTTGTTCCAAAATTTCACATATTGTATTGAACTCATTCATGATGACCAGCATGATTATTATTCTTTGATGTGCACAAAAATAAGCCTTCTTGGCCACACTCTTGATTGTCGATTATTTTGTTTTAATTTTTATATGTTGTAGAGGCCAGAAAAGCTAGTGAAGCTGGTGTACATGATAACAGAAGAATAGCAATTTGGCCAACCATTTACAAGAGAGGTCAATATCTACACCCTTTATCTGCTTGTTTTTTTGCTTTATCAGATTGTTTGTGAAACTTTTAGCAAGTTAACTTTAGTTTAATATGAAACTCAGAAAACTGTTAACACCAGGAATATTTCTGAAACGTTTCTAGGCTGCAAGGAAAAAGCCAGTCAGGTATGAGATAACAGTAGTTACTTAATGGTTTTGGTGCTTACCTATGTTCCCTAAAATTAATTTTTAACGATCTTTACACAATTGCCCTGTCAGAATCTAGCCTGAAAGCAGGCCCTCATTAATAGTGCTTGATCATGAGTGTTTCTTTGCCTACAGAAAAGTATGAGGCATTGAGCAGCAAAAGCTGGTGAGAGGTCTGCAAAGAGTCTAGCAGTGATAATGTGGTGCCAGACTCCTGCCCAAATGTGCATCTTGCAGCACTTACAATGAAGGCATTCTCTCTACCTAGTCATAATCAAGCCAAAGTCTTCATGGTTTTCTGAGACTTGCAGAGGTTACTTTCAATTGCTTATATTCCATGGGCTCATTTGTTGCCTGAACAAAAACAATGAAAGAAGGGCTACCATGTGGCACAGTAGTCAAAAATGTAAAAAGTTCTGTAAATTTACAATTATTCTAATGTGTTATTGAAAGGAAAAATTAAAGGACAACATGGATGTAAGTTCCGTTGTCCTAAAAGGGAAAAAATTATTCAGTTAAAAGGAGTATGATAATAATATTGTAATTACTAGTGGCTACATTCCATCTTTCTCACATTTTCTAATCCTCTGACAAGTTGATTCTTCATCACAACAATAAATTCTCTGTGACTAAGAACTCCATCATCTGAAATTGGACAAAAAGAAGGGAAATGATCCTCTCAATAAACTCACTTTGACAAAATTTGCCACCAGAAGATTTAATCTTAGACATCTTTGCCTTGAGTAACAAGTTCAATCACATGAACTTACGCCTTAACATCAGTATGCACATTCTCTATAGTGTTCCCTTTACATTTCCTATCACTGAGTTGGAGAAATTCCTTAACAATAAAAGAATTCTCAGGTTGAGGATTATTTCTTTGATTGTTGTGACCTTAGTTTCTTATTCAATAGTGATACAGTGAGGAGTAATTGGATGCAAGTCACTTGAAGGGATTAAGGGGTTTAATTAACATTTGAATCGTTTCAAACTTGCATATTTTGCAAAGAAATTGCTGCAATTCAGGAGTTTTCTTTGTCCTGTTTCATTTGTCAATAACTGTATGAGAATACTCACATGTAGGGCAAAAGGTTTGATTAACTCTCTGTCAACTGGAGTAATGTTCAGTTTTGGGCAACATATTGTTTTACTAAAATTGAATACAGTGGAACATACAGGGAAAAAAGAGTCTTGAATAAGGAGGTTCAGTCAAAAGAAAGGTGTGGTAACCAATAGCAAGAAAGGATCCATGGTACCATAAATGGATGGTACTTAGATATGCTGTTTGTTTGTTTGTTTTTGTTTGTTTGTTTTTCTTTTTTGTAATTAACATCATTCAATAACTGAAATGAATATTAAGACTATTGATTCTGTTGTAATGCTATTTACCATTTTCATCAAACATCTTGTATACAACATCAACCACATTATCACTCAAATTAACATCTGTCACTGTCTTCGCAACTTGCTTGAATGTTGCTGGAAAAAGAGGAAAATAACATTAACTGCCCTGTGATGCCTGCCCCTTTATTTCACTGAGAGCAAATGTGAGAGAACTAGTTCTTATGGACTGTGAGGTCAACATGCTTGTACTTTGAAAAGCCTGATTAGCTAATATATTTAATATGTCTCATTCCATGTAGCTACAAGTGTTGGAAAAAAAGATTAATGTTACCAATTACAATTCAAACTGGTGATCTTTCTCATTAAGTATCCAACTGTTTTATCTCTTTCATCACAAATCAAACTCACAAGTAATGAGCTCTAAACAAACCTGGATCAATAGCTTTGCCTGCTGCATTATGAAAACTCAAAGCCATATCTGCTTCAGAAATGTTTCTCATGAAGCTGAAGAATGCCAAGTAATCTTTGAATGTTATTCCCTGGTTAAAAAAAAAGGAAGAAAAGAAAAAACAATTACCAGAGGCATGTGAGCTTAATAAGTATTTTCCTTTCCAGACCTTACCTGAGGATTTTCTTTAAAATATTTCTTTACTTTCCTCAGAATTTTCACCTTCTTCTTTTCATGGAAACTAGAGTAAGTAAGAAGCATGTCTGCAAACTCCCATTCTTTAATGCAGCCATTCTCAGGGTCATAGGAATTGAACTGCAAAGTAAAAGTCAAATGTACACAGTCAGGTATGATCAAGAATGATTTCAATAATAAGAAAAGTTTGAAAAAATTTATTTTGCAGAACTAATAACTTTGCCAAGCTGACTGCCCCAAAATAGAGATTTGCCCACCATATGTCACATGACTTACTCCCAGGCCCCAGCAATGTATAGCAAACACATTTTCCACTTAACATACAACTTGTCCTGAGGAAAATAACACTTTTACCTCTAGATACATGACTTCTTGTTGTAAATTCTTTTGAAACTCTATAAATCTTTGCACAGTTAGCCTCTTCTTCAAATCTTTTCCAAAGAAGTATTCTTTGATACCACTGTTCACATGAGCAGATAGAACACTGCCTGTCACTACATGATCACGATGCCGCATCCCAGTTTGAGTCATGCTAAAAAGGATATTCTGAACCTGAAAATTAAACAGAAAGAATATCTTTATTGAAGTGTCTCAAACCAAATGAATGCAAAGAGGTGCAAGTAAAGGTTTCAGTGCCATTCAATTCCTTTGAAATTGGATAAGTCAAGTTTGATAAACTGGGCAAAGTATTAAGTCTGAACTCTAATCATATTAAGACTTAATACATCACTTCCTTTTTCCTTGTGGAAAAAGATCATGCAATAAGGAGCAGATGAGGCAGATTGGAGTTTATGTAGCAGATTAATCCCTTAAACAGCCTGGTAAAAACATCTTACCCTGTTACTAAAAAAAACTCTAGTTCACATCTAATTATTGACATTCATTATCCAAGCAAATTCAAGTTTTACTGTTGGGATAACAACAGTAGCCCCAGTGTTCCTCATATTAAAACTGTGGGTTGAAAACTTAAAATAATCCTTAAAAGGAGTACAAATATTGCCTTGTAGGCAGTCAAAAACAAATAAGCTAGCCTTTTTCTTCAAAATGTTTTAAACCAAGGGTAGGCAGAGTTTGTACTTTTAAAATTTGGAACTTGGCAGAATAGTCCTGTGACTTCGTTGTTCCAGGTTTCTGATTTGGCACCTGTGTTTCTCTGACTAACCAAACATGCATTGGCCACAGTAAGTGAAAATGGGCATTATTATTGTTCTGTAGATTTGTTCAGGGCTAAAGGTGTCAATGTTAGAACAGATTCACCATAATAGGTTCACTCTTCTTGCTGATTTCTAGTATGTTTTGTAAAAGTGCATATCAAGATTAAGTGTTGGTCCAGATGCACACAGAGGTACTTGTAACTTGTTGCCATGTTGATATGATATCCATTTACTAGGAGGTTCAGTTCTTTGCCATCAAATCCCTTTAAACTTTTCTGCTGTTCCAAACAGTATTACTAAATTAAAATGAATTAAAAAACAATAGCAGCCCAATAATACTCCCTTGGGTACACCTGTGAAAACAGGATTAGGTTCAGACAGCACTCCCTTAAATTGCTCCCTGCTTCCAAAGGAACAAACAATCAGTAAACCAGTATTGATGCTCTAGACAAGTCAATGAACACTGCTCCTGTTGCTTTACTGCCATCCACTTCTTTCTAGATTAAGTCTGTAAAGAGAGTTACTGCCAATTCAGTTGAGTGATAAGACCTATAGCCAAACTGATCTTCGGAGAGATGGCCATTGCATTCAAGCTGCTTCATTACCTGCTTATACACCCTTCTCACCAAAACCTTTAACAAAGTAGGGAGAATTGAAATCCGTCTGTAGTTGTCTATTTCTGCCAAAGCACCAGTCTTGAAGAGACAAATCACCTTGGTCACTTTCCATTTGGTAGGGACAACTTCAGTTGCAAGAGATAAGTTGATAATAAAAGTCAAAGGCTTTGTTATGACTTCTGCTGCATCTTTAAGCAATCCAGAGGGGAGGTTACCTAAGCCAGTGGCTTTCTTCCATTTAACGTTTCTCAGCTCTCTGAGGATCTCTGCTTCTTTCACAGCTCTAAGAGGGAATTCCTCTTTAACTTGAGTGAGTTTTGTTCCACTAGGTATGCTCCAGATAAAGTCATAAAAGTTAACAGCATAAAATTTGTAAGAAACAAAATCAAGTACAAAGGGCTGAAAACAGATGGCAAGAGGTTCAATCTCCCCATTTTCCAACTGATTTCTGCTGTAAGTATCAAGCTGTAAGTCTCTAATGACTGTGCAGATGATGATTATGATAATAAAGGAAACAGCCAAGACTCAAAAAAGTAAACCATCACAAATCTCCTACCTTTTCAAATTCCTCTGGTGAAACTTCCCCATCTCCATTTAAATCAAACATTTGGAATGCAATTTCAAACATTCTGGGAGGTACTAAACAGAAAGAAAGAATACCATCTCTTATTTAGAAATGACACTAGCCTTTCAATAAAACTGGTACATAACTAACAAAAGTTTCAATCAATTTAAACAAAGCCAAAGAAAATTCCAGCGAACGTGTAAGATGAACTGAGAAAAGAAACAGTCAAAAAAGTATACTTCTGAGGAACAAGGACTACCCAAGAATTGGCACTTTAACCCTCTAAACTCCCAAAACATAACTTTTCTCTACATTATCAATACAATAGCAAACAGACATACATGATAACACTGTTAGAAGAAAAATATAGTCAGAGAACGAAATAAGCCCATGTTCTCCCATCCTCAGGAAAACACTGTCCTGGCCCAAGTGTTCAGAAAGCTCTCCTTTATACTTGTGTTTCTGAAAAGTCAAAGCCAAAAAAATCACATTTTTGTGACTGTGAGAAGGAAATAAGGGGGAAGCAATGAAAAAAGGGGGAAGGGAGACATGCATGCATAGATTTTAGTACCCACTAGGTGAGTGACCGGCTGAGTGTAATTCCTGACTCTTCAGCCATAAAATATAAGAGTAAATTTTAAAAAATATATTTATGATATTGTATAATAAATATGATTTATCTGTTACTTCTTCTTAGCATTCTCCTCATTTGTCTATTAGTAATGTTGCAGAAGGTGGATAGTTGAAACTCAAAAAGGTTATAATTTTATATATAATAATATTGTTCTATCATATGAAGATGGAAATCAAATACTGCATTTCCTCAAAGAAACACCTGGGGCCTAATTAAAATTTTGGCTAAAGGGAGGGGCATTTATTAGAAGGAAGGCACTTAACCAGAAGAGGAACTTATTAAGAACATACATGAGGGAATACTGCAAGCACATGGAGATAGAAACAACTAAAATGGAAAAGAAACTATTCTCCTGTACTAATTCTGCTGTATTCAAAGCTTCAAAGTTATAAATTAAGTGGCAATAAAAACTGGTTTTCCTCGCATCCCTATTGTTTAAGAAAATGAGAGAAGAGGGGGGGGGGGTGGCTATTTGAGGAGAAAGCTTGTTTTAGAAATGGCCTAAAGGGTGGGTGCTTATTCAGGGAAGGGTACTTATAAAGGCATGGGCCCTTATTCAAAGAAATTACAGTATTCAATAAAAAGCTTTCTAGGTGATAATGTGAGACATGACTCAGTCAGTAATAAGATGAACTATTAATGCAGTGTTACTAGAAAACCAGAAAGAAATAAAAGTGGGCAAGTAGACAGAGAGCCAGTTTGTGAGACAGACAGATAAATAGTCAGGTAGGCTGGCAGTTGAACAGGAAGACAAATGGAACATGGAAAAAGTTGAAATTTTGTTAAATATTTAAAAAAAACTATGGATCAACATTGTTAAGCTGGGATGTATACAATAACACAATCAGCTATCACTTGTCTAGGGCAATTATGTACCTCAGGATTAAATCTTTCATGTTCATCAAGTCCCAATCCTGAAACAAGTAATATGAATGAATAAATAGATATATGTAAAAATAAAATATTTCAAACATAAAGGGACAAAGGAATAAAAATCAACTGATTAATTTGAGAATTACTTAAAGCATAGGAAAAGCTACTTTGAGAAAAATAAAATAACTAAAAAAAAAAATAACTAATTCAATAATACAATACTTGTTTGAGTTTAAGTTATGCAGGGAAATTATCATTAATAGCTTTCATTTAATGTCTTAAAGTTAAACCAGTCCAAGAATTAAGCAAAGGTTTTTTGGCACAATTTCTGCAAATCAAATTGCTTAGTGTCTACAATTTAAAGCACAACACAATAGAGATCAAGAAATACAAAATCCTTCTTTACCAGCAGGTTGTATTTTTCCTGGGGTCAATGATCTCACAAAATCCTCAGGTGTCATGAACACATCATTGTCCTCACCAATATGCACAACTTTTAGTGTTGCAAAGTATCTGAAAACCTTGTCTGGAGTGCTGTATTGTCTGATTCGATTTTCATACTCAATAATCTGAGGAACAAGGGAAAGACTTCATCACTTAACACACATACCTTTCCCTGCTCTCTAGATTCATAAGCCTTTTACTTTTAAATTCAAAGTTCCCCCATTAAACAATCAAAGTTAATCAAGGTGTGTAATAAGCACATGCCAGCCTCCTCCACATGCAGGAGAGTATGCAGAATGACACTTTTCTATTGAGACTTGGAATGCAGTCACCCTCTTTGTTAACCATCTCTTTTTGGACCATACTAGTAATTTGAAAGCCAACTGGTTCACCTCCTGTCATTTTGTTTTTCACATATTTCATGTTACTGGTATGTTAAGAATAATGTGGTTTATTTGTTCTTTTGTTACATTGAGTTCCTAAAAACTAGCTACAATATGTGCACTTCTACTGAAAACATAACAATCATGTCTACACTGATAAGACAGCTTTAGATTGAAGTTTGACAAGTGCCTTAACATATGTTTGAGGAAAAATTCGAGTGGAGTCTGGTATGATTATTGTTTTCCTATTACACAGTTTTAAATAAAACTTAAAACTACCCTCCCCATACCCTCCAACCAAAAACAAAAAAGCCAAATGTGATACATTGCCTGCGCGTACAAATAATCGACTACTCCTTCGAAAATGTAATGTATTGTTAACTGTTTTTAGGAATAGTAAAAATATACGATGACCATTTTAAACACATACAAGTTAAATTTGGATCGAGGATAACATCAGTAAAACCAGTACTGGGAAGATGTTAAAAAAATCAAAAAGGTTTTTATTACCCTTCTCTCTTTAAATCCACGTTTATCCTTCTTCCGTTTACCTTCTGTCTCGTCCTCTCCCTTGTCTTGAGTTTCAACCACGTTTCTATCAGTTTTAAAATCAATAGGAAGATTTTTCCCTTCGGCACGAGCTTGATTGAGTCTCCTGAATAAAAAATACAGCGAACTAATCAGGCCGACAGATGATCCGATGATGAGCCCTATATTTCTCCGTTGTTTACGAAAACGTTCTTCTCTGCTTTCTTCCTGATGAGATTGTTGATTTTCCACAGCTGATGAACCAAAAAAGCTCGCAGAACATCTGGCGTTTTGATACAAGCGACCCCTACGAAGCTTGCAGTTACTGGATGTTGAAAAGCATTTCCGAACTAATGAAAGTTCGTTGAGTAAACTCCGCAAAACTAGGCGGGTACCCATCGTCATTGACTTGTGGCGATGAAAAGAGTCTCCAATTAAAAAGGAAGCTTTTTGTGGACAAATAACATACCAAACCGGCAGCAAGCAGGCGAAATAATTGCCAAAATTTTGCTGTGTTTTATTCTTCAATGAAGATGTCGGCTGGTGAGGGTTTGAAACCGCTGGCCTTAAATGAACATAAACACATCTAGCGAACACACCTAACCTCCGAAATTTACCCACATTTATTTCGGCAGTTGTTTTCCAAGTGCCATTTTACCTAATATTTTATTGTAAGCTTTACAGTTATTACTACCTTATATGACGACTTGCGGGAAAATGTCTAAACAAAGTAGTTTTAATCCCAGGGGGAGAGGTGTGGATAAACAACTTGTTCAATTTTGTCAATTTTAAATTTTACGAGACTAACATGCTTTTTCTTATCCAACATAACATGCTATGGAAGAACATAAAATGAAAAAAATAATATGTTTGTTTTTCAATCATCGACAAAGAAAATGTCAAAAAAGAATAGAACACCATATAAGTATTTCCCTTGGGTAAAATCTTTCCAACCTACCCCTCCTACAGAATGTGCATATTTCATGTGATCAAGAAGGCGTTTGACATGGCAGGGACGTTGAGGCTCTCTCGATCTTCATCGATCGCTCTGTTTAGTTTTAAGGTAAATCACCGAAACCTAAAACCGTACTTTTTTCCCTAAAATCCACTGCTATCTTTCTGTTTCCTGTCTGCTATGTATAAACTCTATCACTCTCTTATCAATTTGTGAAAATTATTTTACGTTGTCAACACCATTGAAAATGTGAATTCGAATATTCGAAATCTTTGTAGTACTTTTGGTCGTGAAGGTGATACTGTTATCCTTGCACGTGTGTGCATTTTTTCTTCAGGGAGCACGTCTAAATAAGAGCGTCTGGAATAAGATACCGAAGCACTGGATTTTCGTTTCTGCGCTATGTAGAAGCGGTAAGTTGACACTTGTTTGCCTTGCAGCTGTCGGAAGAATTGAAATCATTTTTATCGCCGAGAAATGGACTTGTTATTGAAGCCTCTTTATATTAAAGTGGTATTTCTTACGGGGAAAAAAGGGAAATCGTAGCCTTGTTGATCGAGTACGTGCGAAGAATGTGATCATACCACTTGAACCGGTAGTTGTTTACGTAGTATTTCCTGCTGGCATATCATAACCCATTCTGGAGAGTAAATTTTTTAAGTATCTCTTATGAATACAAACTCCTTCTGTAATTCTTTCTGGTGGAAAAGGGTAAGTGATCAGTCCATGTAGTTATTTTAAAAGTGGTAGAACACAGGCAGATCACTCTAAGGGTGCGAAAAACAGGGCAAGCTCTTTAAATTTGTAAACAACAGCCTCTATTTGGCGCGAAAATAAATAAACATTAGCCTCCATTTGGTGCCTAAATATCTGACAACAATAACGATGAACGCACCTTGGATTAAGATGGTTAATAGCCAACTAGGCACATAGAGCGAAAGTGTCTATGACCACTATCATGTTTTATTAAATTTCATTAACATGAGTCCAAATTTGGAGCTTTTTTCAGCTCCACAACTGTTGGTGTGGTGCATTTCCATTTTAAGGTGACTCCTAATATAAGCTGATAGCCAGAGTTGAGTTATCACTAGAAATGCAATATTCAAAGTTGAAAGTTTAACAGATAAACAATAGCTTCCATTTGGCACACAAATATACAAAACAATAGCCGCCATTTGGCATGGGAATGTGCTTGTGTGAGATCTGTTGCAAAATGCGAACAGTTTTCCAAGAGCAAAGTTAAAGAAAAACTGCAACCCTTAAAGAACTGATAATGTCAAGAACAAATATACAAACTTATAATCCATCAGTTATTGTTGCTTGCATGCAATTGGTCCAAATGCAGTACATGACCAAGTATTCCCAAGCTGAAACTGGGGAATATGCAGTGATATACCCCAAATAATATTCCCCAATTTCCCATCCTTACATCCATTATGATGATAGTCTTCTTTTAAGTTTTAATTCAAGATAAAAGAGTGCCAAGCTGTTGTTACAGGGACATTTTTTTTACACAAATTGGTACTTGAGATCACTGAAAAGTAAACATACCACACAGTAAACAGTACACTGTTTGTAAATATTTTGTCCTGTACATTGCAAAAATATTTGATGGATCATGAACAAAGTAGTCTCCACTTAGCACTAAAAAATAATTGAATATTGGTCCAAGGACACAATCATTCCTCACACCTCACAGTCTTCCTTAAACTTCTCACTCAGCTAACTGTTTACATCTTGGACTGCATAATATCCATGGACAAATATCAGAGGATATTTTTGCACCAAGTAGAGGCTACTGTTTTTATATTTCAGCACCAAATGGGAAAATATGAGTGACCAAGATTGGGTGGTTGGTTTTAGTTTTGCAACTGATTGGCTTGGCCAGTCACACAAGTTTTCAGGACCAATCAAATAGGGAAGTAAAACAAATCTATTGCAATCCTGTATTACATTTGATACTCAATTGAAAATTGCTATATCCTCAGTCCAAGTTTTACTTCACTGTATGTTTGGGGCATGAGGGAAATGTACAATAAACTTATTTGAAAAAAGCAAAGTACAGCTGCACCTCGATTATCTGGACCTCAAATATTTAGTTTTTTTGATTATCCAGACTCACTTGTCTGGTCCCATTTTTTCATGCATATTTATTAGTCACATGTGATATCTGTAAAAATTCTTCCCCATCAAACAAAGCAAAGGTACTGAGACAATGTCAACACTATTTAATTAATCCAGTTGAAAAGAATGATACAATTAGTGGCATGAACAGACTGTAGCAGCTTGAAACAAACTACTTTGCATTTTAGGTTGCAAGATGTTGTTATCATAATACTTCTTTTAATAGGAAAATTTTAGCAATGGTGCACAATGATTTAAGAATGTGCTTTAATTCTAGCATAAAATTAATTGAATGTTATGAGGACAGTTTTAACTTTTGGCTCATGAATTTATATATTTGTTATTAACAGGATTATTCAGCCCAGTTCCCACAAGTCCAAATAATTGAGCTTTAACAGTAAAAGGTTAAGATGCTGAACAAAGTGGATATATTTTCTGGTCACCCAAATGTTTTTTTCAACAGATAAGGTTTCTGTGGGTTTTAAAAGTGGTTTTCCCGTCATTTTACTTCCTTTACCATCAAGGAGGGAACAGTGTGAATTTGTTCTACGCCCACTGACGCACACAGTTAAAGACTTCTTGGAAAACATACAAAAAGAAGACAAGGGAATTGAAAGAGCTACAGTTTACAATGTAGATGGCTCTAGAATTTCTGGAAGCACAGGAGTTGATGTGTTACTGCAGTCTGATTTTAAAGTGGTTTTGAATGACAACTCATATTTTGTATCAGTACCAGATGAGAGTAAGTGCTATTTAGACACACTAAGGATTAATAATTATCATTATTATATTACAGAAATGTTGGTTTAGCCATCCTCACAATTAAGCCTTTTTTCTGTGTTCAAGGAAACATCCTTCTCTACATATATAGCAGTGAGAATTGTAGTACCTCAACTGTATTCGGCACTGTTTTGCAGTAATTGCTTAGAGTTTGCTTAGGGTTAGGGTTAGGGGAATCTGAAAATGTTCCATATGTTTACTTCAGGTGAACTTAATTGAAGTTCTCCTGGACCATGTCACTAGAGCTTGTCATACTTTCTGTAGCATAAAGTGATCAAGAATATAGTTTGCTCTAAATGGCAGTCCATCCAAAGTCCCCCCTTCCCCACTCTCAAGGATCCCTCCTCCACTTTCAAGGATTTGTCCCTCTTTTCTGTTAATTGGCTAGTTTGCTTGAAGTATATAGTGCTGGTTAAGGAGAAGCACTAAAGGATCAAAATATCATGTTTAGGAACACAACAGCCAGCTTTCAAACCCAAACCTTCGGATCCTGTGTCCAAGGTGCTAACCACTGGGCAACTGTGTTTCCCAATTTAAAAATATTGTTGTCTTCCTAAGGATTAACAACTAACTTTAAGAGAACAAGAGTGGAATTAGGAGGAAGTTATACAGAGTTTACTATCTAAACCAAGCAAATAGTACAGAGAGTGGAGATTCAAGGCTCCTGCCAATAGTATTTGACTGCTTTGGAGAGTACATTTCACTGATTTTCATCAATTTAATTCTTTTGCTCTCTTTTGTAGCCAAACCTCCAATTGATGACTTTAAAACAGTTGCACATGTTAAAACCTTGGTCCACCAGTTGTACAGTGCTATGAACATAGAGCAACATCAGGTATGTGGCATGATCTATTTATATATATATATATGTATATATATATATATATATATATATATATATATATATATATATATATATATATAATTTTTTTCAGACTGAACAAAAACTGAACAGACGCACGGCAACTTGGAATCTGTTTGTTAAGTGGATTCACTGTCTTTCATTTGTCTACTTCACTATGTTATATTGTATACCAAAACTGGGAAGTATGGATAAATGACTTGGTTGATTATTTACATTAATGTAAAAACTCCTCTGAGAAACTTATTGATTAACTTAATTACCCTGTTAAAAATACATGAGGCCAAGTAAAGACAATTTCTTGTGAAAATAAGTTTGTTTGCATGGTAATGAAAAATGCTTTTCGTGTCAATTGATTCACACTGGTCCTCATTAAAAAAAATTGCAGTTTCTGTATAGCTCAATATCGGAGCTGTTTTTTTTTGTTTTGTTTTTTTGTTTTCAGCTGGAAAAAGAACGTTATTTGATGGCAGAGCTGGAAAAACTTCAACTAGAACTAAAGCCTATGGAAGACATCAAAGCCGAAATCGACCGCAAGTCAGCTCAACGAACCAATATTGTAGTGTGGGGTGGGCTGGGGTACATGGCATTCCAGTTTGGTCTGTTAGCAAGATTGACTTGGTGGGAGTACTCTTGGGATATCATGGAACCTGTAACTTATTTTGTGGGATATGGAACTGCCATGGCTTGCTACGCTTACTTTGTGTTGACAAGACAGGTAAGAAATGGTCACCATCGCAGCTGTATACATGAATGTCTCTCGAACACGTTTTTTTTTTGTTTTTTTTTTCAGGAATTCCTTTACCCCGACGCCAGAGATAGGCAGTTTTTACTGTTTTTCCACAAGCTTTCAAAGAGGAAAGTATTTGATATTAGGCGATACAACGAAATTAAAGATGCTATACTAAAAATTGAAGCAGATTTACAAGTTCTGCGCAGTCCGTTGTTCTTACATTTGCCTGAAAATGCTCGGATGGAGCTGTTGGAGAAAATTTCTCAGAAGGAGGATGAAAAATAACTTTGAGATAGAAATATTCCGTTTAAACCCGAAGTGAGGTGTACTTTTTTTTTGTAATCTTCCATGGACTGTGGCGAAATAATTATAATAAAAATAATTCTTAATTTGAGTGTCAACATATAAATTAATCTTTAATTAAAATTAACAACTCACACTAAGACCAAACCTTGCACCTTTTGACCCTTTATATTGACGAGCATCAAATTTCTCCTTACAATATCACCTTGAATCAAACATTAAGGTCGCAAGAATAACTGAAATGATCAACTTAAGAAGCTCGACTGTCAAACAAGTTCTCCTTTGTTAGCAACTTACGAAATGCGGAAAGAACAGAATGGAATGTATGTATACTGATGCTACTGTGTGTAGGGTTAAACAATTGTGGGTTTTGCAAACTGGGGAACATGTACCAAAGGTCCTGGTTGCAGTCATAGCCGGGGTCTTTATTTTCCTGTGCATTCTCGGGCTAGATGAATGATTGGTGCTAGTGAACTGTCAGGAAAATCCAGGTGGACATGGTAAGAAGTAGAGTGGCAAGGGAAAAGGAGGGGGAGGGGGGTACCTTGCAGTAGACCAACATCTCATCTAGGAAATATGATATTCATAATCAGCTAATTCTTGAGAAACTGAGGAAAAGCTTAACAGCTATGCTTTGCTCCAACTTACTGTGAGCACTTACTTTGTCAATGCATGATTAAGCATGAGCCTGGAAAGTAAACACATCGGTCAAACGGTCAGTCCATGAGCAAATATTGGAGTGGCCCTACATCGTGCAGTGACAGTTTTTAGATCCAAGCTGTATACAAGGGGTTAAAACAACTGCACAATTTTGTAAATCGCGGTGCGTTAAAACGAATAATTTTTTAATAAAATACAAGTATTCACTATAAGAATTTTAAGCTTACTTTTTGTGGAAAGTGAAAACTCTAACAAACGTTCTATCGATACTTTACTAAGGTGGGTTTGGCACAAAGTTCATAGGAGTCAGTCACCTCGAGAGATTTTGGAAATTCATATCATGCATGAATTTTTGCCATAAATATGTGCTCAAAATTTGTCGTCACGTTTAGATTTTCGTTAATAATAAATGCTATATCAACAACTTCTTGGAAACCTTTAACTAAAACTCCATGTCGCAACTTTAAGTAGATGAGGACAGGAAAAATATTTCCACGAAAGAAGTGCATAACACCCTTGGGGGAAATAATCTAGATGCGATATTTGAAGACATGGCTTTCTATCACGAGCCCATCCATAGTGTTTACGACTTACCTTCCCACTTCGTTCTATTTTTGTAGGTTTACTTTAGAATGAACAAAACCATCTAGAATTGTTCATATTTTTTTATGTTTTTCACAACATCATTTACTCCGCATGGCATAGACACTAGGCGTCATCGAAGTCAGGCACGTGATGTGATGAGTACGAAAGAGCCATCTCATGCTGCCTGGAGAAACCTCTGGATGCTACGCGCGATATGGACGGCGTTTAACTGCATGAAATTCCATTTTTGCCTTTCGTCCGTTTTTTTGATGCATAAATCTACGCAAAAGGAATGGCAAATATCAAAGGGATTCCAATTTCAGATACGCCTTGGGGACTGATCTTAATCTGGGTGTTTTTCCCGTTCAGGTGTCTCAGTGACGGTAACAGCTGGGAAGCTTTATTCCTGTTTTTGAGCTTAGCTAAAGCTTAGAGTCTACGCCAATCGAGCAAATCAGCATTAGTAGCCAAGTGCGTCCACAAGTCCTACAGTCCTAGAAGGTGAGTAAGCTGTGTGACTTAACTAGATAAACGTTTTTGGCTTACTCAGAAAAATCTCTTTGAACTTAGTCTTGTTCCATTGAGTTCCCTGGTTATTACAAGATCAAGATTACTGTTGGAAAAGCTCATCCATGAACATCGATTGATCACCAGGGAAATCGGAGATGTCAACCCAGCTCGCTTTGTGCTTATAAACATGTCTTATCCTGTATTTTACTATTTTTTAAAGTTATGATTCTAAACTTTTTAAACACGCTCAGCCTTGACATAAATAATTTCTAAAGTGCTACAACTTTTAGAAAGAAGTTGAAAATAAACCCTCTTACCACAGCCTTACGTTAGCACGATTCCCCTTTCACTTTTTTCTTTCCTATAGTAACGACATTTGCCTGTCCCTTAGTTTTTTTCTCGCTTTTGTCATTAGATTTTTGCTAACATTCCACGGTCGTTCCATAACCATTCTAAGTAATGTTTATGATGTATAAGTAATTTAAAAGTTAAATGCCTTTATTTCGTTTCCTCGTTGTTTTCCCATAGTCTTTTTCTACATCGAATCTGCAATTTACAGACATATGAAAATTTGGAGAGCGAGAAACCAAATAAACAGTTGTTTGCCTGTGCCGCCCCACTGTCCTGCCTTGTCGAAGCTCAAATTCTTCTTCCAGTTTACGTAATTTTGCTTTAAATTTGATGGCGTATTCTCCGAAAGCTAATGCTCAATCTTGCAGCAATTTCTGTTATCTTATTAGTTTTCTTTCAATGCATCACTTACTGAACAAGAAAGTAATTATCTGCTAGTTTGATTCTAAAACAACTGAGACCAAAGTGATGGACTGCTTTGCAATATGCTGCAAATGAATTTAAACATTTAAACATCGTCGGCTACATGATTACCATGGAATAGGTCTTAAACTGTAGTCAGAACCGCTCTCGAGACAATTGTGAGACTTCTCTGTGTTGATCAACAAGAGAAATACTAGTATGTAGGCAGCTAAACATATGATGTATTCATGCCTTAATGTCTGATCTTAGCTAATTGAATATCTCTCACATTGTTTGGATCTGTTGACCGGATGCACACAGCTGATTTGCTTCGCCACTCTGGTTGTTTTTTTCATCCTGTGTGGTAAAAATATACGATCTGAGTGACACTTCCGCATCTGTTCTCATAATTTCGTGAGATGTTTTTATTTTTATTGTTAAGCTGTAAAAACCCAAACCGGAAAAAAAGTGATTAAATGAAAAAGTTATCAAAAGATGCTGAAAAAGTTTCAACTGGTTATCTAAAGTGTTTATAAAAAAGAGAGTTACCTCCACATTTTTTTCCGTAGGGACAAAGGGTTGTTTTTTTATTTTTCAAAGACCTGACTTCATGAAAATTCATAGGGGAAAGTTGCTTTGAATGTCAATGTACTGGATTTTGCCTGTAGAATTTCAGTTTCCAAGTATCGCGTTGTATAATTGTGAGAGATAAAACAGGGAAGAAAAGAGGTTTATCAGAGCAAAAAAGGGGAAAAACTGTTTACCCAGGCTCTGGCCTTTTTTCCAGCTCAAAAAATATAAAACTCAAGTAAAAGATTGTTGTTTTGATCGCACTCATTTGTTTTGACTATACGCAGGGGTTAGTCATCTGAAAAACCACCTCAAAATGTGTTCGTGCCTATCATTGATACGTACTCGTAAACTTACATAAATTGTCTCGTGCAATTTGAACTAAATATGCACTCGTAAATTTTTTAAAAGAATATAAATTGGTTACTACAGCGACAAAAGGTTAATTAAGAGTGAAAAAAAACCACAATTCTTTTCATAAGAAAGTTTACCAAAATCTTTTGTCTAAGATTAATTATTCCTCAGCAAAATGTTGCCGATCTCTTAAAAAATAGAAATTTATCTTTAAAAACTTTACTTTAAGCACTTTTTATGCCCTCCTTATTTTTTTCTTTTTTTTTGTTTTCTTTTTTTTTTTTCATTTTCTTTTTCATCGTTATCCATTTTCCTAGCGGCGCAAAATGGAAGGATCAGATAACTCCAGTGGTACTGTAGCTTTATCGTTAGCGCCAAGCGAAGTCATAGCTTGGTGCGTTATTTTCGGCGTGGAAGCCTTGGTGGCCATTACAAGCAACGTGGCCACAATCGCTATATTCCTCACTAACAAGCGAATCCGGGCTCAAACGTCCATCCTCCTGGTTAATTTAGCTGTAGCTGATTTGCTGGTGGCCACAGTGCCCATACCTGGGTGGGTGTACTTCTTTGGAGCTCAAGCCAACCTCTGGGCAGACAGCACTCATCTGGCTGGTCACATCACCTACTCTGCCCTGGATATTGGAGGAGCGTTTGCTTCTGTTACCAATCATGGCTGCATCGCTGTAGAACGACTTATAGCCACGCTGTTACCTTTCAAATACAGAAGCAGTAAAAGGATAATCACCACACAGCTCATTATTGTGGTATGGATGTGTGCAGTGTGCATCCCTGTGGTGACTCTGGTTGGTTTCCATGTCCTTCATTCCAACATGGTTGCTTTTTTTGTTTGGATGCCATTCCTTACTGTGCTGCTTCTGGTCATCACTGTGTCCTATTCCATCCTGTTGGGCAGAATGAAATGGCTGGCACGTAATCTTCATGATCATGAGGGAACTGAGCAGCGTAACCATCGCTTCACTGTCACCGCCTTGATGGTCACTGTAGTGTCCTTACTAGCGTGGTTGCCTTTCATGATTATGAGTGCCATCAACCTGGTGGCGCAAACCATCAGTCATGACGTCCGACTCGTGAGCATGGTCAAACTCCTGCACTTCTTCAACTCCATCTGTAGTATTTTCATCTACTGGTTTCGGATCCCTAATTTCAAGGCCGCTGCTTACGCCTTGGTGTTCCGTCGCCATGGGATGGAACAGCCTGAGCGACACAGGGCATTATTTCAAAGTAGGAGGTCAAACAGTTGCCGTGACACAGCTACAACCGCTCTCTAAAGATGCCTCTCCTTTCATTACGTTGCCAATAGGTATTCACCCTACAAAGGTCTTTTAATTCCCTTTTATCTGATTGCACTATGTGCCGCAGACGGATGGAAATTGTACGTCTCTGTGTGATTCATTTCTAACAAGAAATCTACGACCCGAAAAGTACTAAGTGAAGATCTAGTTTTAAATGAGGTTATTTCAATTAGTAACTTCCCCATTAGAGACATCTAAAACGGTATCTGTTAAAGTGAAGGAGAACATCGGTATGTGAAATATTTGCTTCGTAGTTAGCATAGGGACAATGAAACATTAAGAACAAGGGTAGTGGCGTACAAAAGTTCCTTGTTGCGCTAGCGCACAGCTAAGAAAAACTGGAGAGAGAGGCTACCGTACACATAGAAAACTTTGTGTGAGTTTTATTTTGCGGAATGGCGATTTTTCTATTTCTTTTTTTCGGGACCAAATCTTTGTGGCTTAAGCTATTAAAATGTAACCTGGAAACTACTGATTTTCGCGATTTGAGTTTCAGAAGAAAAGAAATGAACAGGGAGGGAGGGAGGCACGATATTCATAACTTTTATTACTTGTTGAGTTAACACACATTATACTTCTCGGACACCTTTCTTTTGATTCTATTATAGTAATTTTCAATTGAGTGTCGAAAGTAATCCAAGATTGAAATGTTTTTGCTTTACTTTCACTGTGATTGGCCCAGAAAACTTGCACCACTCCCTCAAACAATCAGATCCAAAACTAAAACCAATCACGACTTGGTCGCTCGCGTTTTCCCGCGCTTTAGGCAGTTTGTTTATTCTTACCTTGAGTTACCATTGGCTCTTGAGTCAACTTAAAGGTATTTTCCTTTCTTCTGATTTGTCGATCTTGGTTTTACGACATTCAATCGAAAACGCTCTAAGCCTTGGAAGGTCATACTTACCAACCATTAAGGAGTAACAAAGCAGCAAAATCTTTTTGCTGCTTTGTTGCTCCTTAAGGGTTAGCTTTACTTACTCTTGCCTACTCCCCTGGAGTTTTTTTTAATTGTGTTAAAGGCATACAGCACTATCATTAACATTATTATTTGTCGTCATCATTTTCATTTTAGCGGGAAGTAATTTATACTTATGGAGGACAATCTGCCATATCTGCGAAAAATTAAACCCGAAGAGTTTTTACGCCACATGGCATGCCTCATAAGTTCATTACAGTATTTCAAGCGCGTTCTTTATTGATAAGGTTCAAGATGACTAAAAATTTTACACGCCCTAAGATTACTAAAACAACTTAATTACATTTCAAGTGTCACTTTGACTTATAAATGACTATTAAGTCATTAAAAGTTAGGTATACTGACCAGTATTCTGTTGAGTACGTTATTTGTTGAAGAGAAAAAGGCTATGTTAAGCCTAAAAACACGGTGTGCCCGAGTCCTCGTTTTCCTGTCACCCCAAATGTGAAATCATGACTTCTAAAATTAAAAGCAGAAAAAGAGGATTCCACAATAAAGATGATCAAGCGCGAAGAGCCCTTTCAGTTCGGCCATCAAAATAAAAAAACAAAACAAAAAAAAAAAACAGAGCCAACCAGAGAAAAATTCAACACCACGAAGAACCAATAAAAAAGTCACATGCAAAAGACCTACAGCGCGGAAAGAAGACGATGACAAAGTGTGGCCATGGTCGATCGAGGCGAGGTGAGGCAGATCCAGCGCAGTACAAGATTGGGCAACAGCCAAGGAAAATTAATTTCGTAAAGCTACTTATGTGAATCTTCTCCTGGCCTTTCACTCGAATGAAAAAAAGGATAAACTTCGAGTTCTTCTCTGTGTAAATCCACTGTAACAGTTTGAAAGGAATGAAAGAAAAGCCAGAGATAAATCTGATTCGAAGTTTGTTTATTTGAATCATCAAAACTTTTCAGTGTCTCCCAGGTCAGTAAGTAGAACCGAGACTTCCTGGGGATTACCTTTTCTCCAGGTCACTGTGGTATTTTTGCTTTTAGTGGGCGTACTCAATTCATCCTTTTGTGTTTTGCATCGAGGTGATCGAGAGGTACTTTGAACATCTTCAGTAACGCTGCGCTGACAGCTGGCGGCGCCTTTCCTCTGCCTAGAACTCGTGCAGAAAATTCGAACTACCGAGCTGCGAAACTCTGGCATCCTTAAGCTGTAAACTAAAGGATTAACGAAGGAGTTTCCATAGTGAAGTACTTTGGAAAAATAAAAAAAATTGAAACTAAAATGAACCGATGAAAACACGAACAGAACGTTAACAATAACAAAAGGAAGCCAGGCTGCAAGCGAGGTGAGTGTCACAATAAACAATGTCAAAGCTAGTTTGTTTTCATACTCGCTCGACTTTTGACGAATGAACCTTCTTTTCGATTTGATTCGGCGCCATATTGTCAAATACGAGACACTTATCACAATACAGAGCACGCTCAGCAGAGACATGGATACATAGGTTGCGATTTTCATGGAGTTAAGCACAAAATTACTCACAAGGCAAACGACTGTGGTGGTCGAAGCAACAGACCAAATCAACGCGATGGAAAACAAATAATTTCGCGAACTGAGACCGCGATAACCAACTGGAACCAAAGCGGCGTAGACACGTTCAAGAGAAATCACTGTAAGAGTTGTCAGAGATGCAAATCCAAGAAGAACATCCAGCCCGAACAAAGTTATATCCAAAGCCAGTCCCCAGTGAATGTTCCAAAAGGACATTTCGGCTCCTAGGTAAGCTAAATATAAAGGCAAAGGAAAAGCGCCGACTAACATGTCTGCTACGGAAAGATTAGTAAGCAGCATGAATTTACTTTTTCTCGAGGATTTGCTTGAGACAAATGCCAAAATAGTGATAAGATTACCACATACAATGATAAACGCTTCGACACAGAAGATCACGAACCATGGATGTGCCCTCGTGCTCGCAGGTGAAGGTATCGTGGTGTTACTCCAATTCATTTTTTTTCTTGAATTTGTTAAAGATCCCCTGTGAAAAAAGAAACAAAATTGGCATTGAGTTCTCTTTGTTTCCCGTAAAACACAGCGTTGGTCGGTTAAAAGGAATTGATTACGGAATTTAAGTTGTGGGAAATATAATACGCTCTAAGACAAGAAGAATAAATTGTTAACATCCGAATGGCCTGGCGAAGCGGCCAAAAGTTGAAATATCAATTTACCAATATTAAGGAGCGGCCAATGCAGGCAATTGTATGTTTCTTACTTTGATCGAAGACAATATATGACTTTCATTGACGGTAACTCTCTCGCATGAGAAATCTAATCAAATAAAGAATATTCTCAAAAGTTATAAGCCTCCTTTTAATTATGCATTCAATAGCAGCCGTTGCTGTTTGACACAAGGCCCAAAAGGTGAAAGTAACGTGAAAATTACAAAATGAAGTAATGAGCATCATTGAAATGTTTCTTCGAACATTTAAAAACAAACCCTGGCAAAAAATCGTTTGTAAAATTTATGCTATTTAATAAATTTTCTTCTTAAACTTGAATTATTGTATTTTCCTCCAGCAAAATTTGTTGATTTAAAATCATTGGTTATGACGTGGTACGGTTTGTCTGTGTTCTTGGCTGGCCGCTTATTAACTATTGAAGCCCAAATTGAACTTGTTCTTCACGAAAACAGGGATTATCGAGCAGAACCCACTCACAATTTTACGAAAAAATTTTAAAACAAGTGTAGAAAGCTGCACATACGACGCACAGACAATATATATATATATATAAAATAAATGTATCTCTTAGAATTTCTTTTACACGTTGAAGAATGTTAAATCTTGCACGTCTTTTTATTTGATTTGTAGTGACCCAATATATGACTACTTCAGGTTTCGATTGTTTTTCATGATGCATTTCTTGATAATTAAACATCCTCCGTTGTTATGTATTGGAGTAAGGGTATTCGTGAATAATCTATTTTAGAGGTAGCGGAGAAATGGTCTATCCTTAGTAAACTTAGTAAACTTTGTTTCCGAGGGAATTAAGATATATTCTACCTCTTAGATTGTGTTTTGATCATTGCGTTTTATTAGAAGGAAATCTGTTATCAGCAAATATTGGATGACTTCTGGCCAAACTAACATAGTCAAAATACAATTGAATATAAAAGCCATGTTGGGAATGCAATAATCAATGGCTCACCGTCTTCTGACCAATGATAACGAACCAGATATCGCCCAAGGTTTTCAAACTGCACAGCGAGGACTGCGTCACTTAAAATGAACCTGTGGAAATTCGCGGTTTAATTGAAATCCGCCGCACAAACTTAGTTAAAAACCTGATCAATAAAACTGACTTCATGAAACTTTGTATGTGATAAAGTACCGCATAGTTTACGGTGAGTTACGTAACCAGAAATCGCTTTAAAGAAGAACTTATTCTGTAAGCCCTGTAGTTCTGAGTAGTCTTTGCACCTTACGAAAGTAAATATAAATTCAAAGCAGACCTTATCGTTTCAACGAATTAAAGCAACCCGATCGCATAATTAACTTTTGTCATCGTTATTTACCTAATTAATACCCCTGGGAAACCTCTTAACACAAGGCATTATAATCACGATCGTTGAAATAATGCTTCTTTTTTTCATAAAACTAAAAAGAGTTCTTTCGAATGGGCCTATAATTAAAAATTTCATTACGATGGTTTTTAGTGGGATAAAGAGACGATGAAAGATTCATTTCATCTTCACTCGGATCTTGATCGGGTCACGTTCTCACCGCACGTTTGTGTTAATAAGCCGACAGTCAGTATCGAAATCGTATGGTCTTGGTAGTAGTACTTTCTATTGATTTGCTTATTTTCTGACTAAATAACGATGGATCAGGCCTGACAAAACAAGGATTTGACCATGTCTCCCAACCTAAAAAAATCACAAAAGAGGGCCTGAAATGAACTCCAGACCCAATCAGATTTTGAAACAGTATCTCACAATACCAGTGCAATTCTCCAAAAATAACTGAGCTATGAAGAAAATGACACTGGTGAAAAATCGTTTTTCCTGACAATTCTTTAAAGAAATGTGGACCATATAAGGTGCAGGAGCCTAGGGTTAACGTCGGAAACGAAACATCTCTGTTGCTTGGAAGCCCTTAGTAATGGGCAGCACCTCTAGTTTATATGTTTTCAACTTTTTGTAACCACGACTTAAAGAACGTGTAAATTGAACTTGTGTATTTCGTTTCAGCCTGGCCTGTTGCTAATCTCACTAACATGTGGGACATAACTTAGAGACTGTACTAAAGCAAAATTGACTGCGCTGGTCATGGAATCTGAACAAAGAGAAAGATTTTTGATATTTCCCCCCTCCATGAAGGCAGGATCAAGAAGAAGGTTGACTGTTTATCGAGTCAAACCGACTATGATCATTTAAGCCATTGTCAGCTCCTTCTTCAAAATCCAAGATCTCCCTCTTAGCTTAAATACGTCTACTTATATACATATATATTAATTAACGTATCTTGCGTTATTTTGACGCCGCTTAAAGTCCTCCGGACAAATGATAATTACTAAATGACCTGGAGACGAGTCTTTACCCAAAACACTTAATTACCCCCGATATTCAAAAGTGATTACTGAGGAACCCTCCTCAGAAATCGCGTGAAAAGATTGCTGAAAGCGATTTAAATCTCATTCTCCTTCAATGTTTCTTAAATTTAAAGATCATCCAATTGGTTTCAGGCTGTAAAAGTCACGCGCTGTGAACTTTCTATGGTTGACGAAGAAACTTCAAGCGTAATGTTCTTAGACTCGGGTGAAGCAGATTCATCTACCTTTGAAATTGTAGTCGATAACAGTACAGACATTTTTGAATGTGAATCACTTAAACTTGTGTTTGAAGAATTTCCAGAAAATAAAACTTAGAATTTCGAAATGGAGTGTGATAAAAAGGACTTGAAATGACAGAATTGAGATGACATAAATGAGCCCAAGAAAATAAACCTTTCAATATTTAGAGAACATAAGCAAGAGGTAATTGTGAATAATTTCCCATGCGACCTCGATTTTGCACTTATTTCAAAAGGAAAACGACATCCCTGCTGAACCTCATAAGGCACCTTTCACGGGTAAACTTTTTTCAACTCAAAGTGAGCTGAATTGCAATAAGCGAAGATTTATAAGCTTCTTGAATTTATCCCATCGAATTCTGCGGATGCATTTGTGCGTTGAATGAATTTATTTCATAATCGTTAATTACTGCAAAGTCAGTTTAGCACTAAAATTGAAGCACCAAGAAAGCCAATGTTGTCTAAAAGCAACTATCATTAACTGCGCAGTGAATTTTGTTTTTTAACAGGTCTTATCATTGCCTTAAGCTGATCCTATCAAAGACGCCGGAATAATTGTATTTTGATTCATACATTAGTATAGGATGTTCCGGCTGGAATAAGCCAGAGAACTCAAACATGCCGCACACTCTACTGAAGCGAAGTTCACTCTTTTTTTTTTTGTCTTCTGAATTGGTAATATCGTTCCATTTGTTCAACTAAATGACCTTCTTTATAATGACCTACTTTGTTATTCATACCTTATTAAAGACGTGATCAAATTTTGAATTTTTCCAGCAGCTCTTTGGAGTAGTGGTGCAAAAATTGACGGAATCAAGCTCCAACTGGCTCATATCGTAAACTCGTCCTCTTCTTGCGATAAGATCCAGATGTTTTAATATTTTCCACATCCTTTTTCTTTTTTGTCTTTTCGATATGAATCGTTACATTGCTTGTAAATACCTAACTCCGCCGGTTGCTTTCAAGTTAACAGTCGTTTAAAATATTCAACAGATTTATCTGAGACCCTTGACTATTGAGATGGAAATTTTAAGGATTTAAAATTGATTTCCTGAACTGAGAATGGTTGTTGAGAATTCTAGTGGAGGTCTTTAATTTAAGACCGCCGACTGTGAAAAAATGAGATTTGAACAAATTAAGAAAAGCGACAGAAGCAATTACATTAGTTGACATCAACTTCATTCTACCAATTTCAAACAAAGTTTTGTTAATAGATGTGGGCTGTTTCGAGCAAAAGAAAAATTTTGACAGAGAAAAAACTCCAAACTCTGGGAATAATTCCAGTTTTTAAGTATTTGACATAGCTCTGCATTTAATGGACAATATAGATATTCTATCCTGCACTTGAACACAGACAAATTATTCGGCACTGTATTTGTTTTTGAAAATAAATTGGAGTCGGTGTTCGCCCAGCAAATACACACGAAGAATACCAAACGTATCCACAAAAGTACATAAACTGTCGCTTGATTCCAATGTGCTGTGTTTTCTAGATTATTTTCTGATGCTAGGTATGAAGTATTCATTAACATGTTAATAAGGGTTTGCTAGTTGCAGAGGTCGCGGAACAGCAGTCAAGCACAGCCCAAAAGAAAATATTTTGGGCGGGCAGTGGGGGAGGAGGCTTAGTCATCGTTATCGAAGTATACCACCAGCTTCCTTACCTATTCCGTGATGTAATCTTATCACAAATCGTTTTATCAGAATGGCACACTAAACTGCTACTCTGCAAGACACTTTTTGTTTTGAATAAATGTCCACTAATACAATGTTAAAAATCAATCACAGATGCACTGGACAAAGAACATTTTGGGATTTCAATAAGGCATGCACTTGGCTTGGTGAAGGTTGAGCCCACCCCCCGCCCCTTACGCTCCGCCACCCCGTCCTGTTGGAGCGTAGAGCTAGTTTCGTTTTACATAGTAACCATATTGAAGGATTATTAGCCTGCGTGGCTCAATAAGCCTTGCAAGGCTTGCAAAATCAGCCAAATTATTTTTCACTACGCAATTGAGAAGAAAAGTGCAGCTTCATTTTCCTTACCTTTATGTTTTGCCCTTGTTGTCAATTTTAACGATCACTGAAAGTTCGTTGTTGTTCTTCTTTTCTCGGTTCAAACTTCAAAATCGATCAGTTTCAACAGTACGAAATATATCCGCCGTACATGTTGGACAACTATTAATTATTCTACCATAAACCCGATCCTGTAGTAAGTTCGCATGCATTTGCCTGTGAAGGGGAACTATTTGCGGTAAGAGAGAGTCAGGATATTGTTAACCAACCGACAATTACTTTGCCTGTTCAGATAAATGGCACGATCAGGTAAGAGTGATTGAATGATGACAACGAACTGATTTGCCTGAAATTATTCGCTCCATTGGACTCGTCCATGATTTTGGCACAAAGTGCTTTTTTCACTTATTATTGACACAGGTAAGAATTAACAAAAACAGCCTGAGTTCTATACTCGAATTCTGATAGGAAAATGTCTGCTGTCGGATGAACCATACAAACTCCATTAACGCACGAAAAAAAAGTGACTTATACTTAAGTTCGGCTTGTCAGCCAAATCTTTTCAATTATAACGTGCAATCAGAAGATTTGCTCCATAGTGAAAAATGATATATCGGTAATGACAGCAGAAGTCAGTTTGACAATTGTATGGTATCATGTGTATATCTATTACTGCTCAGAACCCCTGATGAGCGCAAAGCCAAAATCTAAATTGACTGAGAACTCAAGTCACAGGAAAAATTTCAAAATCGTATTTAAACCTTGTTGAATTGATCCATCGCATTGATCCATCGCATTTGTGATAGGTAAACAACGAATGAAATTACCCCAGAATGAAGGAAATTTTTTGAGTTAAAACATTTTTTCACAATTTAATGCACGTAAAAAGGCAAAAGCGTCCACAATTTTCAATGAAAAGATTAATACCGATTTTACTTAAACAAGCTGAGAAACTTTGGCCGTTTTCAGTTCAAGGTACCTACAAGTGATCCACAGTTTTGAACATGGAAACCGAGGCGTCGATAAATGGAATTTTTTTCGCGCCCAAGTGGCAGGTGTGAATAGTAATATGTTAGATGATACGGAAAAAGAGTACCGATAGAAAACTCGAAGTTACCTTAATAACATCGCAATCCTAAATTCTTAACAGCTTTGAAATTTTTTGCTGAACATTTGATCAACTTACATCTTTCATGATTTGCATTTTTTGAACAGTTTTAGAGAATTAGCTATCATGTAGGAGCAGTTTCGCTGCATCTCAGATTAAGTGAGCATTATTTGGTATCAAATAAATTAAAGGGATTAAACTCAAGGCAACTTTACACTGACCTTTCTATTCCTTCCAAACCAAGATGCCAGTAGTTTAAAAAAGCTTTCTAATTGTAGCAGCTTTCCAATCAGTAGTGGAAGGATTGAGATTTCCCCATTACCTTATTTATATAACACAGTGCACTCACAGTTGACATGGACAAAACAGCAAATAAAATGGTTTTACTCTAATGAAGAGATCAAACACCCCACTGCCAAAAAGTAATTAATGGGTGCAAATTAAAATTGAAAAGGGGCTTCATGTTGTGTTATCAGAATATGCTATCGAAGAAGAGTGATTTGTAACAAGGCCCCAAAAACGACAGAAAGGTGAATAAACTTGGAGAAAGATAAGGTCGTTTGACTATTTCTTCTTTTTATTATTGTTATTATTATTATTATAATAATTTTTTCTACAATTAAAGTGAAAAGTTAATCGCCCGAGTCAAAAAAATCCACCATGACACTGCAAGTAACTATATAAAACCAGGGCCAGACACTACAGAAAAATGTTTTGAAAGCATTTTAGCATTAGGGAGTTTAATTTTTTAATTTTCAAAACATTTTAGGGGGGCGGAGAGAGTATGGGACAGACAGGGAAGAAATTCCTCAATTCCTCAAGGTAAGTCGAAGGACACAAATTATGTGCCAATAGCTATGGTGATGATGGTCTTCTGTAAGAATTATGCTTTAGATATTATTTACTTCATCAATTTCCCAACCTTAATTAGAAATTGAAAAGCCACTTGGCGTGAAAATATATTAAATCTACATCATGTGCTATCATTGACCACTAATGACCAAATACACTCAATACTTAAGTTTTTCCCATTTTTCAAACACTTTTACCTACAACGAAAATTCAAGGGGGCTCTGTAACCCTATCTTATTTATTTCGAAGGTTGGATGTTGATAAGGAGAGCTTTTTCTGAACTAAAAATAGGGTTGGCTGATCCCATACCTGCCTTCAATAAACATGTCCTATTATCAACTGCAGATCATGACGCAATGAGACTGCCCTTTAAATTCTTTACCTTGGATTTCAAACGATTGGATTTCAAAATTCCCATCTCAAGAGCTGTGGTATCTTTTGACAAACGTGCCACCTGAGCACGAAGCAGTACAGCTTTCTCGCTGATAAAAGACTGATCGCAACACAACATCTTCGTAAAAGCCCTCTTAAACTCGGCGATCCTCAGCGAATACACGAAAACATTGGCGCACGAGTTCCCATAATGCAAAAGCTTTGTGAGATAAATTAGCGACAAGCTCACCGAAACAGGTTGAAGCTGATTTACAATATTTAAAATCGTAAATGGGAGCCAAGCACACAGAGATATAAGCGTGACAATAAGTAAAGTAATAGTCAGTCTTCGCTCTTGTAAAGTTGCGTTACGAAAGTGAGATGATATCTTCCGATTTCCAACCTGAATCCAGATCACTAAGTTTGTAACGAAAACTATCACACAACAAATAGAGAGGATAACAACAGAACTATAAAAGATAAATCTTAAAGGGATGTGGCGAGTGAGTAATTCAATGGCTATAATGGAAAAAGCAAGAAACCACACGAACATAATTCCCACCACGTATTCTCGTGTTCGCATCAATCTGTGACGTAACGGCCACAACGTTGCCCAAAGCCTTTCCAAAGATATCAGCGTAAGAGACAAAATCGAAGCAAGGCCTGAAATGACATCCACCGCTCTGTAGGCGGTCAGAGGAGTTTCTAAGCTTACTGGCCACAATTGCGCCTGTCCCCCAATGAAATAAACGAACATCGGAACAGCGCATGCTCCGACAAGGGTGTCCGCTGCTGCCAGATTTATCAACAAATATGAACTGCGCCTGTGCAGTTTACCAGTTCCAGTAAATTTGACTATCGAGAACACGTTACCAGCGACGATCGTCAGAGCCTCTGTCATGAAGACAGCCGACCAAACAATTGCCTCGCTTCTCGACACCATTGTCTTTAATTAGCAATAAGGCTATGATAGCTTCTCTCCTGTCGAAAGAAAAACAATTAAAATAAAACAAAGGAAACATTAATAGATCCGTTTCATTCAGGCTACCGAAAAGTTTTCACTACAATATGACTACAAAAATTAATCAATCGAAACCTAAACTGAACACATAAGTAATCATGAAAACGTAATCAAATTTATTGAATATACTATATATCAGAAAAAAAAATTAGTGGAAATTTATATCCTCTTACTTTCTGTAAATATTTCAGATCCTTCGGGGATTTGAAAAACATTTTCGTTGCCATGAGTACGTTGGTCCCCTTCTAGTCTTCATTTGGTATACTAAGTGTAAAGTTGTCTCGCTTAGAGTTTTAGTAGTCTTTCACGCCAATTTTTTTTGTAAGATACTCTGTTGCTGTGTTGAAGAGACATTAGTATATCCAGAAAACTAATGTAGAAGTTCGTGTTTCTTCCCCTCCTTACCAGCTTTATTCCCAACAAGAGTGTACATGAATATTTTACCCACATAAACTATGTAGTAGTTTGCCTCTGACCGATTCCATCTTTTTAAATCAGTGTTTGAAATAACATGGTATTATTGTCAGGAATTCTACAAAACAAGCTGGGATAGCCGTGTAGTCAACGAAAGTCAGTATTTTCAACTTGGCATTCAAGGCAAGGTTTCTTAGGCTACTGCACACGGCTCCCGATTGATTGTTATATCCAACAGCTTGGAGTTTCACCTATGATGTCATCAAAACAGACTTATTTGAAGTCGAACCGCTGGAGGGTGTTTGCTTTTTATTGACAATAGATAAAAAAATGCAAAAGGCAAAGTGAAAGATATTTTAATTTAAAAACTCCGGGATATTTTCATGACAGAAATAAATGTTCCTTTCCCGGCAGCGTAAGTCAACTTATATGCATAACCACTTAAACCTTAAAAAACACCAAGCTGATGGGAAGGATAGCTCGTGTGCCCGGAACTAGAGTGTATTCCACGTAGACAACGAAATATACAGATTTACTTCAATTCAAAATCATTTACTACATGGCTTCATAGTTCTCTTAGTTGTTTAATATATATCACTATGAGTGCCCAGTTTAATATCTTATCAACGATAACTTTTGGGACAAAACTTACCCGAAATTTTAAGAGAATCAGCTTTCAAAGGGAAATTAATTATGTGCTTTCACAAAGTACATTTTTGATACGGTTTCACTATAAGGTTTAAAATCATTTAAGAGAGAAAAAAAACCTTAGTCACAGATGTTAATAAAAAGTAGTAAAAGCTTCGTTCATCTGAACAATTCGGATTATGACGAGCAACGTATTTCCATTTTCAGTTTAGAAATTTTTTGACACTCGAAGTAATTCATTGTATTGCCTCTTGCTTACCAAAAGTTTTCTTTCTCTTTTCGCTGGATGGTACAAGCCAAATGCAAGTTTCATCGCACACCGTGACGTGCAAACATATGCGCGTGGTATTTTCAAATATGCAAATTATAGCTGAAACAAAAAAGGATAACCACTCGGGGTCCAGTGTAATTTAACAAGGTCGAAGGCATACAAAGGTAATAACAATTGAAAATTGATTTGTAGATGTTATAAGCATCACGTCAACTTGAGATCTCTGAAAACCAATAGCGCCATAGCTATCGAACGATTCTTTGCTGATGAAAACGGGAGAAAATAGATTGGCATGGCAAGGGAGACTTGCTTTGCTAAAATCATGTGCATTAGAAATTCAACAATTTCGGGAAGTCAACCATACAGTCACGAAACAAAATCAAGACTCAAAATGCGCCGGGAAATGCTATTTTCTTATCAATTTAAGTTAGTTAAATTCATCTAAATCAAAGCATTTGTCCTTTTTTCCGCCCAAAAAATATTTTTTAAAATGCTTCACAGAGAAAGATTACGCATCACAGTCTTTTGTGTCTTGCCGCTGTTTGAAACTCCTACCAGCGTAAAGAGGAGTTTTTATTGGGAATAGAAACATTTCAAAGTAAAATGTGAAAATGTTAAATATCTCCGATACAAGAGACAACATAAAAACTAATTTCCTATATTTCCATAATTTCGCAATATTCACCTAACTTGTTCACTGGGTCATTATTTATGCAATTTCAAAGTATTATTGGTAAAAATCGATTTTGTCGTGAGTTTTATTCAGTTCGAGTCGAGTGTAAAAGACTAAACTTTTCAGGTGCGACAATTTACAGGTTTCATCAGAACTATTTTCGAAAAAATTAGAGATTAAAAACAAGTATTATCGAAAAGAAGAAACATGCAGACGTGTTCCTATAACTTCCCCTGTAGGCAGAATTAAAAACGTGGGCAAGGTGAATTGGCTCGAAATTTTGCATATTGCATCTGACGGAGTACCTGTCACTTTCGCAAAGCAATAAGTGAAATTAAACCCACATCGATTGAAAAAAATAGCGAGCTTCGCTTTATACAAAGGTGATATCATAAGTACTATTAACGCAAGAACTTAGTGAAACTGACAAATCGAACGAAAAATTATGTAAATAAAACTTGTAAATAAAAATTGGATTGTATACACGATATTTCAAACGGGTGATGAAAATTGTACCATTGTACTATCGAAGGAAAAAGTTCAGTTCCTTTGAATGAACCGCTTTGGAAAAAAATCAGCTTGAGATATCTCATGCTATTGAAAAAATAAAACCCGCGAAACCGTATCACAATATTCATTAACTGTTCATGCAGCGTTGAACACTTAATTGCCTCCTCAAAGCCTTATTCGTTCGTTCTGCGAAGAACTTGTACAACAAATCCATCCGCACGTCCTTTCTCATTTAAGGTGATAAAATTTTCCACTGCGGTAGGTAAAATAATACGTTGATCATGGCCAGCACTTGATTAACTTTTCTTTAACTCACCTGAAATTCTCTTTAATCTTCTAATTATACAGAATTTGATTCATGAGACGCTAACATTCCGAGTGAAACATTAATATTAGCATATGATGTGCTATAACTCGCTAGCTGGCTCTGTCAGAAATGCAAATTTAATTAAGCTGCCACCCAAAATTGTATTACTGATGTATTTGACATTCAGCATATTGTGATGAAAATTTTGGCGGTGTGACAAAAACACAAGTTGTCTACGACTGCTGCTTATCCGCTCTCTTT